AAAAAAAAAAAAAAAAAAAAAAAAATACTCTCGAGTCCCTCTATATATAGAAAGTCGTTGGCAATGCTTGTCGCTTTCAAAGTAATAAGAGGAAAATCCAGCGCTACTGAATATGCAAGAGAAAAAATGAATCTAGGTTAGTTCGATACTCCATCGTATAATTAGGAAGGTCAAACTGAGGGATGATCTACGCGGGAACGTCGGGCGTCGACGTCGACTACAGTCACGATAGGCAAGCATTATATTTTGACTCCAGGGAGACCGAGTCACCTTTTCTCCTAGGTCACACTTTTCTCCGAGAAGGGCTGACCCAATTCCGTGTGTCCGTCGCACGTAAAATTTCCATCGGTAGAACAAATTTTGAAAATCGTCTGCCAACTCACGGATATTAAGCATGATTATTGTGGGAAGCGCGACGATTCAAAGATGGCCATTTTTTTATCTGCCATCATGTAATAATCGATACGAGCAATAAATGGGGAGCAATTAATTTTTTGTATGCACTGTATTAACTCCCAAGCGCTGGACTTCGCAACTGCCAATTGGATTTGACATGACGTCAAGAACAAACCTCGTCAATTAACTGGTTAATTAATGTATTCATTACTTTAACGCTTCAGTCGTTTGCATCTATCGCGATGGAACCAACAGTTTCCCTTGAATTATGTAAATTCTTCATTTAAATTCGTCTATCCGCTCGAGCGTGAGAAACGTTTCTACCTTGTTTCAAAATGTCGTCGAGTTACTACGCTAGTCAGTGTAAATGCTTTTAATTTAATAAGACGCACGGATAATAATTCGTTTGCTCCTTAGAAATTGATGATAATTTTTAACACTGGCATAATCATATTTACCAACACAATGGATTAGCAATTGAATGATTGTCCAAAGGAATAGATCCTAATTTGAAACGCGTAACCATATCTAATAAACGACTAGTAATGAATGAGGATCCGCTTATCAACAATCAAGCATGGCAATACTCAACTACTTCCATAAAGTTTCATTGGTAAATAATATCTCTACGCAACGATCAAGACATAATATTTAACGTGTCACTTGTGTAGAGATAAAATTTTTTTAAATACGATTACTCGCGGCCATGAATCTGAAAACGAATCACAATGACATCAAGGCTGATTGCGACTTATAAGTAAAAATATAGGCAGGCTCGTGTAGTCACATTGAAAACTAAACTTATTGTCAGAACGTGTCCGATAGAGGGTTTCTTTAACTACAGGATTACAACGAGGCTTCTAAGTATATCCTAATATATATTAGATCGACTGGGCGATTCTTAAGACGGTCAAAGTCCAGATCTTTTCTAACCAAAAAGCTGTTACACGAGAAGGGAATAACAATAAGAGAGGATAAAGTGAATAGAAGACATGTGAAAAAATGTAGAAGAAAAAAAACATACGAAAGAAATATGGTTACCGGTTCGTTTGTCACTTATGAAAAAACGTTGACAGGAAAATTGCCACGGATACACGATACGCGCGTGGACTGAAAAATCGATGTAACGACCAATCTAACTGAAATAATCCGGTCACGTATCGATGATATCTCACGTACAATTCGAACAAATTACACCGGAAACTTTTAACCGAAGACTTCGCAGTGGTGACTGAAATTGGCGCGAGTAACGTAACGTTTCTAAACCGCAACGAAACTAATCGTGCTCTCGTTGTGGTGCCTGAAAATGTCTGGTTTTACTCGTAGCCTGATAACGCAAATGATTAGAGGTTCCGCACAGGCCACAGTACCATTGGAGAAATTATCAAGGTCATCAACCGTAATTGTCGTGACCGGGATTCTGGAAATTGATTTTTCCGACGCCACCCGACATATTTCCTGGCGAAGCCATTGAAATGAAACAAAGGAACAACAAAAAACAAAAAGCAATCTGTTTCTATAGCCACTATAGAAAGTGTCTGACTGTTTGTACATACTGAGCCATTTTCTAAAAATATCAAACAGCCATAAAACTGTATCCGGAATTACAGTGCGGACTGAATGTATACACAAAGCCATAATTATATCGTAAATCATGCATCAGCGTGTATATAAATTTAGATATAAAGTTTAGACCTGAATTTACGCGGGTGTCGAAAGATTATTCTTTTGTGTACATATAGTATATATACGTAACTGAAAAGCTAACCCAACTGAAAGAATCCCAGGGTTTTGCCCGGACATTTTGGCACTAACTCCTTGTTATAATGTGTCCAAGAAATTATAAGCAGAGGCCATCCAATATTGTACGCGATAGGTTTATTTTTTTCTTTAAAAAGTTATTGTTATGGATATATTACGGTTTTTGTTATGTATATATACTCACAATATTTCTCCCTCGAGTGACAGAAGGCTTGTAACTCGTGCCAGAGTAGCTCATCTTGAAAGGACGAGTTAACCAGGTCAAACACCTTAGAGCCCTATCGGAGGACACTTTAACATTCGTTCATTTTCACGCGTTACTTCACGACGAACATTTAACACGGATCCTAACTCTTTCACGTAAATATTCCTGGGATTCCGCGGTTATGCGCTCCCGGACGATTCCCGGGATCCATGACAGATGAGGAACACGACTCTGACGGTCGCGGCTCGCATGCGCCAGAGCAGAAGCGAGCAGACGTCGGCCGAACGAACCGTGAACTACTTGTTACACCTTTAGAATGGAAACTCACTGAAAAATAACGCGATGTGTTTTATTCCATAGATTTGGGATAGTTTGGAATAATAAATGCCCGAGCCGTATCTGTAAACCCGAAAATTTTAAACATGGTTATCTCCATGATGGTTATATTCAGACTAAATAATAGATAAAAATTATTCTTGCCTTTATAGCATCACTATTAAATTTCTCGCTGTACTTTATCTTCGTATTGCTTATGAAGAATTCGAATGATAAGTATTCAAAACGTATAACTGAGCTAATCTCCTTCATACGTAATTTTAATTGTTTTACGCGTATGCGATAACAATAGACGCGATAACAATGCTAATAAACGATACCACTGATGAATCATAAAGCTTATCGTTACATTATGGTATACTAAATTTTGCATAAGTCTCATACCCGTAGCTAAAAAAATCAGAATTCGTTAGAAACTCTACGTAAATCGAAGATTTCGGCTGTCTTTCTCGGAAGAAAAGTTTAAGGACAAAACGTATGTGACCTATATTATTCCGTGAAACAGTTGCCCACGCGTTCTTTATAACGCAACGTTTAATTTATAGTTGCAATAAACTCGTCTGAATTCTTAGCGTCTGCCGGCCAATGCCCGATGCTGAATCACGCAGCTTTTCAGATGTAAAAAAAACAACGGCGCTTGCGTTATACGTCTATGTGACTGCTCTGTTTCTCTGTATAAATTTACTGCGTGCTGGCTCTTTCATTCCTTTGTGAAGTAGCATATCCAGCGGCTCGACATACATATCTCTTTGAGTTTCTACTCTAGGAACGTATCAGTGAGTTGCTCGATGATTCAAACAAAACGTCAGTATCGTCAACTTGCGTGCATTCGGTGAATTTCGTGATGCTTCAGTGATTAATGGAGAAGGGACAGCTTTACCTTGAATCTTCGTAATAAGTAACGTGATCGAACGTAGCGTTGTAAATTATCCTTTGGTAATATTGATCTTGTACGTTAGATTTTTTTGAGAAATATTTTAAATAAGACGAGTAGGGTGTGGTGACAGTGCTTATTTATAGATTTTGATAAACATCCCCTCGTGAGTATACTGAGATTCTTTTATTTTCATTTGAAAAGGAATAAAGTGATGATTTCCTTATTCTTACGTAGCATAAGTAGAATAATTCGTTGAGGAATGTATTGCACAATTTTGTTTGCGATACTGACGCCTTATTAATGTCACTACATTCTTAATGGCTGACGTGGACTATAACTAGTAGTTTTCCACCCTTTCCATGTTTTATCATGAACACGCTTCGTTAAATGACACATTATTGGGTATTGAGTTTTACAAACATATTAATACAAGTCTTTTGATTTTTATAAAGAAACACTTTGACGATGTCTCTGTATCCATCTTTGGAGGATATGAAGGTGGATCATATGATGAAGGTAGGGACAAAACTTTGTCTACTTTGAATTTGCATATACATTTTCAAGCGTAGAAACGATCGATGTTAATCCAAAACTTTTTATTTTCAGGCTCAGCTGCATGCTGAATATCAGTATGCGGCTCAATTGCCTAAAGTTGAAGCACCTGCTGAGCCATCTGCTCCATCGTATACGGCTGCTTCTTCTGTACAGCTCTACCCTTTCCTGGGAGATTACATGGGTTTGGAATTGAGCGAAGAAATCATTGCTCAGAATATGCCTGAATATGCAGTTGCTACCAGGCCACCCGTAAGTATGAGAATTTGTGTTGGACGGAGAATCACTATAAATATAAAGATATTTTTATATAGATGGGTATTGAGGTACCGACTGCACAATCTGGACCACTTTATGGAATGGTTGCTCCATTATCAGGACAGTCTCTAGGGTTACAAAGAGCTCAAGTTACTAATGGTATCAGAGAGGTACAGTTGAATCATAGACATGAGTTATGCAGATTTTTTATATAAGTTTATGTTTTAGCTCATATTGTGCAAGGACAAAGATGGTAAAGTGGGCATTAGGGTACACTCTGTTAACAACGGAGTGTTTGTATGTCTAGTGAGTAATGGATCTCCAGCTGCATTGGTTGGATTACGTTTTGGTGATCAAATTCTTGAAATTAATGGAGTGTCTTTGGCTGGATATTCAATGGATAAAGTACACACTCTGCTTCGTAAGGCTCCTGTCAATGGTATCAAAATAGTTATCAGAGACAGGTCAGTTCTATGCTATGTTTTTACTAGCTTTTCTTAATAATGTTGATTGTTTACTTTTTACTGACAGTATTATTTTTGACATTTAGACCATTCGAGCGAACAATAACTATGCACAAAGACAGTCATGGTCACATTGGATTCCAATTCAAAAATGGGAAAATCATAGCATTGGTCAAAGATTCCTCTGCTGCTAGAAATGGACTGCTTACAGATCATCAAATCTTGGAAGTGAATGGAAAGGTTTGTCAATTTCTATATCTCTGAATGATCTTGCTCATTAAATGATTTCTGGCATTGATTTTCTTGACTTGTAATTTTTATAGAACGTAGTGGGCCTCAAAGACAAAGAAATTACTACGGAAATAGATAACGGTGGAGATGTTATTACAATCACTGTCATTCCTTCCTACATATATGACCACATGATTAAGAAGTACGTAATCTTTATGTAATCTAATTTTTGCATGCATATCTAATTCATTAATTTGAGTCACTAAAATATTGAACTATATTTTACAGAATGTCAGGTAGTCTTCTCAAGACGTCAATGGATCATTCGGTACCGAATTTATAAAGAAAGGAATTCGATGTAAATTTTCTCTCAACATTGGTCTACCTAATATTCGTACACTAAAATGCCACCATTACATTTAATCTTTTCTATTTACGATTCAATTATAATAAGTCATCCTGATACAGGACGTCTTGGGTTGGCTTGGATCCAAAGGACGACGTGAACAATTTCGGATAACTGGGATGAAGTGATAAACGAAAAGATGAGATGATAAATTAGAGAGAATGATAAAGGAAAGATGATTGATGTGATCGTAATATTTCATGAATCTATGTGCCAGGTCATAGGATGACCCTTTAATCAAAATTATATTTTCTGGTAGAATATTTTTTTACTCGACGTAAATGTCCTATAGAAAAATTATCAACAGTTTTAAAATTCGTATAATTATCTATCAGTGGTATTCACCTTGATACTTTTTCTCGTTGTTTAAATCTTGATTATTGTGATAACATTATATTTACCGACTGCGTAATTGACGCTTTACGATGCCACAAATAATGAAACGAACAACAAGCATTCTGTATTTTATTATGGAACGTACACACATTAGTACAAGTGTGGACTGGATAGATTTTTTATTGCTTAGTTGCTAGTTTACATAAAGGATCGTGTTTTATATTATTAGATATTTCTACTGTGCCACTATCTTTACTAGAATGTGTTATATCTAGGGTATAAGAAACAAAATGTATATCATATATGTATTTTATAGAATCTATGCTGTATAGCAGCAAATGTCATATCGAGCAAAATATAATTATACCAATTCATGAAATAGTATGATAGTGATTTCTAACAATATTCGACAGCATGATGTACAGTCAACTTTTTCTGATTTCGCGTTTTCTAGACTTGCTTAGTGCGTCCCTGCTATGCGGAGTATACATTTTTTTTCATCTCCACTTGCACAGTCCAGTGAACACTGGACACAGATGACTGGGGTGCGTCGAAAACCTTGCTCCGGATAATGTTAGGACATTGTATCTTTCTTTACCAACGTTATCACGAGAATGATAGAATGATATCAGATTACACTTCATTGGTTCTGAACGTACTGCTGCTCATGATACAAACAGACGAGGTATTGCCACTAGCAGTTCTGCGCATTTGGACGATGACGTCATTGGATCTGCGCGAACCGGACCAAAGTACATTCGCTAGTGGCTATACCTCGTCAGAGAACATATAATAATAAATAATAATAATATAACAAAATAATATAATAATATAATATATATAACATATAATATATATATTTATATATATGATCTCTGACTTCGTCTATTTGTATCATGGTGTGACCAGAGATTTCGAAACGTCCAACCGTTTGCCTCCAATATTTTCGGTTCAGAACGTCTTTGGGTTTCCTTGTTTTCGTTAGATTCTTTTAACGTATTCTGTGTGTTGCGAAAAATTTGTGCTCAAAATGAAAATGCGTTGTGACGCGGCACGTTTGGGTCAGAAGATTGGAGAAGAAGTTATTTTGCTTGGCAAAATAACTCATGTGAGTTTCATAACCATTTCTTGAATATTCAAAAATGATGACTGGTACTACAAAAGAGGTTATTCAATTTTGTAGTATACAGGAATTCTTGATATTTGATAATTTTTTCGTTTGTTTTGTATTAGTTGAGTTCCAGTGGAAAGGAAGCTGTAATAGAAACTACAGATCATGCAAAGATTCATGTAGCCTTTTTGGAACCCATAGATGGTCATCCTGTAGGTTATGTAGAAGTTCATGGCAAAGTTGAAAGTAAAAGCAAAATTCTCTGTGAAAATTTAGTAGAGTTCTCAGATGATGCAGCTGCAGATTTCGGTAAAAGTTCAAACTTCTATAGGATTAATTGATCAATTGGTAACAGTGGTTCAATAATTTTTTAATTCCATATAGATGAAGAACCTTACAATGAGATGGTAGTGACAATGAACTTACTAGGAAATGACAAGTGGGAACCCCCTGGTGATGGTCTCTTCTTCATATAAGGTTAATTTTTTATTTATACACATACTGTGCAGCTTAAAATAATTGTTCATATCATATTAATGTACTGTTTCTTACAAAAATTATAGTAACAGTGTGGTGTGAGCATCACTGGTTATATGATTTGCAACAGGCTTCCTGCTTTAAATGATGCGTCTAATGATGAACAGCGGCATCTACAAGTTGTTACTGGACATTCTGAATGGTGACTGTAATAATAAATGTTTTTGTATTAAATAACAGAATAGTTATTTTCTTTTAAAAAAGAATGAATATTTTTTAAATATTTACCGAAACCAATTGGTAATATGATTAGCATGACCGCCATGTCTACATGTTTGACACCAAGTAAACCAGCTACTGAATTCAGTCAATTTATTATCCTCCTCAGAGCGATTTGTATTACTTGTGCTCGTTTGCAAACCACTTACGGTACCCATGTGCATCAAACAGATTGCACATCTCGGTAGCGGTTTACGACAACTCGGACATGAAGACATCTGCGACATAATTAAAAAATGATATTTATCAGCAAGAAATTGATAAACTCACAACGTGGTTTACCTTCAATTTGTTTGATGTACCACCAAGTCTTCCAAATGGTCCCCTAGCTCGGCTTAAACCTTGCATATACGCAGATATACTTTTCCCACAGAAATTACACGAAATGTAAACTTGTTGGGGTGGTTTTTCATTAGTCGATGTTCTCATTGCAATATCAAAGTGTGCTCTTTGATTCCACATTTTCCAAGCATCCAAAAGTGCCCTGTAACTATCTATCCATACTTGAACTTGATTCTCTTGCAACAGTTTAGGCGGCAGAGCTCTAATCGCTATTAGACTGCAACTTTGAACATCTCCCGTTATTTCTAAATATCTGTTTAGCAATTGAACTCCTTCGATGCTAGCACCTGGAATAGAGCATTAGTAATTAATGGAGTAAATGACACTTTGCATAATGATGTATCTAATTTTTTACCTGTAAGGAGAAAACCTGCCAAGTTTCCTTCTTCGCTCAATTTTTGTGTCAATTTTTTCAAGTATTCATGGAGTTTATTATCAGAAAGAAACATTAATGCAAACGCAACTCTGTCCTCCACAGCCATACCATTTTCATTCTACAGATACATATAAAGTACATGCTTGTATAATTTATAATATTTCTTTCATCATTGTGTTACTTACAAGTACATTTTCGTAGGAATCATTATCAGCCGTCAAAAAGGCAAAAGTTGCTCTAAGATAAGGATCCGAGAGTTGAGATCGGGATTTTAAGCACAGTTCTCTCCACATGCTGTTTCTATCTTCCGAGAAACCAGAAAGAGCCATTGCTACAATATTCAGATTTGTTGCTAGAGACATTTTACTGGCACCTCTATTTAAAATTTCTATTGCCTGTCGTAAGCCGAGATTAAAAACAGAAATGGCTGCTGCTCTTGGGTATGCGCCTTCTCTCTCTAATCTCTCAAGAAACAAATGATTGTAAAGAGCATTCGTCTCCTTATCAAATCGCCAACCACAGAGTTGCAGTGCTTTATCTCTATCCGATGATCTATAATCCAAGGAAACATTAAATTATTATTAAATGCATATTTTATTAGAATTTCAAGTACTTGAATGAATTACCTATATATTTTTGCGGTATGATTCGAACCAATATCCGTCCATGGCCGATGGACCAACTCTGACTTTATAAAGCTATTGGTACTATTTTGCTGTCCGTCAAGTTTTAACACCATCCTATTATACCCAATTCGTTTATGAAACATATTTGAAAAGTTATTATTTGTTGAATCGTGAAATTTTACCTGACTCCAGGATGCTTGTTTTCAGGACTTTGTATCGTATCATCATCTACCAACGAACGACTTAGGTACAACCATTGCCAAAGATTCTTTAAAGTCTCATTTTCTGCTAAATCTCCATTTTGTGACAATTCCGGCTAAAAAATAATATATCTAGAACGAAGCTATTTTTATTCACTTGATAAAACTGTCTTTATCCTTACCAGTAGCCCATACTCTGCATTAGCTCGTGATTTCGTTAAAACTGATATATCATCTAGTGATTTGTAAATATTGTCATTGCTACAAATATATTTAATAGATTTAGATGCGTGATTCCAAGCAAGATATGATCTCGTAGCCCAGTTTACTGTTATTCTTTCAAACACAGTGTAATCCGTAAGACCTGTTTAGGCAACAATGTTTATCACATTAATTTATTTAATAGTTAAGCAACTACTTAATTTAAATGTTTGAACATACCTTGCTGAGATATACCCAGTAATCTATTTACATGTATCGGATGCCATGAAAAACTAGCAGGGCTTGACCATGGTGGTATTACAGTTCTTTCCAAAGCACCTGGTTCTGTATCCTCTCCACCACCACCAATACCACAATGTTGAACATCGTGCAGGTGTAAGGCTCCTGAATCCTTTTGCAATGATCCCAACAAATTGTGTCTTGTCGGACACCACAGAACTTTTGTTACTGGCCTACTCTGTGGTAATGTCAATACAGGCTTTTCGAAATATCGTGTGTCCCAAATAGTGATTTGATTCTCAATGTGAGAAACCAAATGATAGTCATTGTGAGGATCCACGGATAGACTGTACACAGCTTTTGTAGGAGTCGCATTGACAACCTTAACAGCATCTGATTAATAATAAAATAAATAGTATTGATTCTCTTATAAATTTAATAAGTTAATGTTACCTCTGAAGTCTATAATTTTTAAATGTTTATTATTGATTCCAACAACTAGACATCGGGGTTCATTATTAAACCAAGCGAGAGAGTGAGCTGTTTCGGAGATACCAGACTCAGATATAGGTCTTACAGAATCTGATTGACTTGTACTGTGATGGTGTATACGTTCAATATCAAATGGACTCTTGAGAACATCCCAAAGAAGTACTGAATGATCAGTACGATATTTATCTAATCCACATACAATCAGATTTGGATCCACTGGATTCCAAGCTACTGCGTTACACTGCCTTGCGTGTTTGGGTGCTGGTACAAACAATTTTTATTAGTCAGATAATTTAATATTATACAATGACTAATGCTTACCAAGCTCTTTTCCAGTGAGACCAAGGGAGTCGAACGCAGTAGGTCCAAATGTTGTTAAAACAACTTTGCCATTAGCCTGACCGACAGCTAGAAGAATATCTGGTTCTGGCTGGGGATAAATGTCAATACATTTGACGTAATGATGACTGGTGTTTGTAGCAAGAAGATGCGCAATCGTAGAGTCTGAGATTTTAATACCTGTTCAATAATAAGATCGCAGTTTACCAAACCTGTAAACATCAGATAAACTCCGAAAGAAAATACTCACACGACGGTCGAACGGTATCCTTTATTTGGGCTACTTCGTAAAGACATATTTCAGTACCCCACGTAATAAATTTATTCGAGTGTATCGGAGACCACTGAACTTCCAATTTAACACTACTCATTTTGTTTTTTCAAAATTCAAATTAATACACGAAGCACGCGAAATAACACCCAGCTAAATATGTATCAAACCAGACTTTTCTTGACGTACGTCAATCAATATACCTATACGTAAATTACACAAGAAACAGCTACATCTTCGTTAACAAATTAGAAAACTGTATTTTGTAAGATATCCATAATATCAAATAAAAAAACACCACTTTCACCCGACGTCACTCTTCGCTGCTCTTCGCGCAACAATGGTTCACAATGTCAAGATCAAGAAAATTGACTTCGGAAAAAAACATTCTAATTATTCATACGCATGCGTCTCCTCATCTCGTACACACCTGATATTAAATCGTTCAATATCAATGCATTTTCAACAATCACTTCGATTCCATAAATAGTGTCACTATTACTTATTTACTTATTGATAACATTATCAAATCATTATTCTCGCAATTTACATTTTACAGCGATCCTAATCATTTTTTCACAATAGATTAAAAATGTTCGTAGACGCAACAAATGGATATCGATTTCTAGAATTATCAATCCTTTTAATGACAGTTCAAAATTGTGTATCTGTGTAATATAATGAATCTCTGCAGTTCCTTGTAATCATAGTAAATATCGTGCGAAAAAACAATTTGTATGTATAAAAATTGTTGCTGTGTGCTGGGGAACTAGTTCGCTCCTAATAGTGAGCAGGTTAGGTTAGGCTCTACCTGTACACATTCGTAAGCAATCGTAAGATAGTGTACAGCGCCAGTCTCTCAGTGACTAACGTGGTGAAAGATCAAACCAGTGTGTGACGGGTGTACGCTACTCTACAATTCGGCACAATACAGTACGGTACCATCCGGACCTTAGTCATTGTACCATTTTTAAAGGTAATTCGAGTGCATTTTATTGCGTATTTGCTTGTTTTCGATAATCCCTTAGTAACACTTTTATTTGTCGAGTTAAGGATACTCTGCTTAATTACTATGAATATAGAATAGAAAGTGGTAATAGGTGAAAAACATTCATCGACAGGATATATCGGCCGACAGCGCGGCACCGCCTTTTTCATTATTCATACCTTGTATACGCCTTGAATTTTAGCGTTAATTGTTCCCTAGAACTTCGTCTATGATCCGATTGTTAATTGGTTATCATTATTCATTACTCTTTGACGTGATAATCAACGCGTTGAAGGACTGTCATGCGATCCCTTTTATTTTAATGAATTTACTTGGAATCTATGGGTGTACTCATTATTAATTAATGGATTAAAATTTTTTATTTTTTTATCTAGTATTATTGTATTATTCTAGCATAGCTTGCTATTTGCTTCGAACAAAGCTTTTTTTATTTACCACACTTAATCCTCCTTGAGATTTCCCACACTGACAACTTCCCATTCTCTGTTCTTCTGAAGTATTTTAATAGGCAATTTTAACAAGGAGCTTTGGCCAGTAATACTAATTACTACTACTCTCTTAGTGTAACGTGTGACTTCTTGAAAAGTCTTATGTATCTATTATAACTGTATATTGTAACTAACTGTTTATTCTGATATATCCTTTATATTTGTTTTCTATACATATAGATGTGCATTAATTTCTTACCTTTGATTTTCTTTAAGGATAATGTCGAAGAAACCTGGAGCTACTCAAGCCTTACACAAGGTCATTATGGTTGGAAGTGGAGGTGTAGGGAAATCTGCTTTGACTCTACAGTTTATGTATGATGAGGTGTGTGGGTGTTATATCATATTCCTTATAAGTACATGTTTATAGTCTAATCTTAGCATATTATTATTAGTATGACCACTAATAATCTTTTTTAAAATTTTGTGTATTAATCTAATAATATGTGTTATTCAGTTTGTTGAAGATTATGAACCCACAAAGGCTGACTCATATAGGAAGAAGGTTGTTCTTGATGGAGAGGAAGTACAAATAGATATTTTAGATACAGCAGGACAAGAAGATTATGCTGCTATCAGAGATAACTATTTTCGTAGTGGCGAAGGATTTCTCTGTGTATTTTCCATAACAGAAGATGACAGTTTTCAGGCCACGCAGGAATTTAGGTGAGTCTTGTCAAATTTCTTCAATAAAACTTGTTAAATTTTACATCCATTAAAAGAAGGAAATAGTTTCTATACAAATTTTCTTATACAAATTCCTGAATAATTCACCTGTGAATCTTAGAGTATTTAAAAAATATAGAAATTTAAAATCTTGTATGCTCAAATGTATTGAATTATTAATTATATGTGGGTGTTACTGGCAAGCAGGCATCATTTTCTAATCCTTCCATGACAAAAATTACTATAAAACATATGATTGATACACAGGGAACAAATTCTTCGCGTAAAAAACGATGAAAACATTCCCTTCCTTTTGGTGGGGAACAAAAGCGATCTTCAAGAAAAAAGAAAAGTCAGTTTAGCAGATGCACAAGCCAGATCGCAGCAATGGGGTGTGCCTTATGTCGAGACCAGTGCTAAAACGAGAGAGAATGTGGACAAGGTAAGATATCATTTGATCTATCAAAAATTTGTCGTTATTGTAACAACAAAGTGAAGCAATATGGAGCAATTATAGATAATATTATTACAATAATTAACTGCAATTCGAATAATTCACTCGCATGTCACTTAACTGGCTTGACTCTGCACTGTCGCCATATAATTTATTGCTTTGGTAAATCTGTCAGCCATAAATCTCACATGGGCATCTGACACGATCGTAAGCATTACTCGTACATAAAAATAAAGTATTACAGAGCAAAGAAACATTCTGAAATTACATTTGATTTAAGCAGCATCGTGCTCAGGAGCCTTGAGACAAAGCATCACTTGCGCATTTTCAGGTATTTTTCGACTTGATGCGTGAAATAAGGTCGCGCAAGATCGAAGACAAGTCTGCGAGTAATGGCCGTGGAAAGGATCGCGCCAAGAGGAAGAAAAAGAAGTGCATTATCCTCTAGGTTGGCCATTACTGTTTGTTGCATCTTCTTTTTTATTACTCCTAATTTGAGATTCCTCCCTCAGTGCTCTTTTAACGAAGCGTTAAAAAAGATATTGATAAATTATATTTAGCATCCTCAATATTTTATACATGTATGTACAAGCTGGCCCTAATATATTTGTCTTTCTCTCTTTTTTATTAATTTCAAGCACTAAAATAAGCACGCCATTTTATTACTGTAAGACGTCAAAAGATTTCTTTCTCGTTTCTTATCCTTGGATGCTTTTCATTCTTTTACTTTCTTTCATTTTTTTTTTAAATTATTTTTGTTTTTTGAAATTGCTTGCAATCGCTTACGCGGGCTTAGCATGTCTAATAAAATTGTTTACAAGATCCCGAGCAGATTATATCTCCGATGTCCAAAGGGAAGGATCCAAAAAATTATAGAAAGATTATATATGAGGAATCTTAAAACAAATTAATAAGAGTCAGCCCCTCCTCTTACATCGTCGATTGGCGTGGCTCTACGCTCAGAATGAGAGTAAAACATTTTCAGGTATTCTTTGACTTGATGCGCGCAATAGCAGCTCGCAAGGCACGGGAAAACCAGGGCGAGGGGGGCGAAAACAAGAAGAAAGCAAACTGCTGCATTCTACTTTAACAAAAAGATGGAAAACAATAAACAGACAATTATCCGTAGCTTGTAACAGTGCTAAAAGCCACACTGACATTAGATTAATGAATTAAGATGCGTAATGCAAATGGTCTTTTCTAATAGACAACAAATTTGTTCTTACGCTTTACAGTGACACGACGACATTATTCTCCATGTTTAAATTAAATCTTCTCCCATAATATCTTCATTCGCAAGCAGAACCAAATGATTGTATCTTTTTCATCGACCTACTTCAGGTCATTCTTACTTGATACGATTAGTCGGGTTTTAGCTAGAATGTCACGATTAATAACCAGCGTGACTCATAATGGTGCTATTAAGACTCGTCTTTGATAATTAAGACAGTTCCTTGTGCTAATATGTAATGCAACGTTTCTCCCGTTGAAAGACTTGCCGTAAAAGCACGAGAAAAAAATGTTCATCGGAACGTAGATGCTTCTACGATTTTTATACTTCTGCTTGTTGTCCCTATTTAATAGAATTTTTGCATAACGAGAATATCGTCTTGGCCACTGTAAAGCAACGAAGAGCGAAAGAATAATTGTACACGAGTATTTAGCTTAAATGCATTCTAACGTCATCAAGGAGTCTCTTACTCTGTTTTGGTCCAATACGTAAAAGAAAAGAAGAAACATACAAAAAAATTGATGTAATCGCTAAAAAGTCATTTCGTATTAGCGAATCAGAGAGAATCAGTCAAATAATTGAAAAAGTCAAGTCACGTTTACTCAGCGAATTATTCTCGCAATAGCTTATAAACAAAGAGAACCACTGTTTTGCGTTAAGTACTCGTAATCCTACGTTTTCTTTGAGGTATTCTTAACTTGTAAGTTTCTTCACGATTGTACACCAAGTATTACATTTTTGTTTCTAATTGCCACTTATAAAGCAACAAACTTACACCAAGTCCTGTGCGATGATACCCCTTGACGTAACATTGTATCATTTTTCATTGTGGATAAAATAGATTTTCAAAATTCGCTCCCAAACTTATCCCTGTACATTAAAAAGCTATTGACAGTAAAGCAAATCGTCGCTACATGCCAAATAGAAGTTTTTAACTTGAAAATCTAGTTTATTAAAATGATACAATGATTATGTTAGACGGTCGATAGACTTAACGTACTACGATCACCACTTGCATTCAGAATAACAAAGATGAGCCTCCGTGAGGCGCATTTACAATAGAATCAATTCAAATAATGGTCGTTCCATTATCTTTCAGGGTGTCAGGACTCGAAAATTCGTTTTTTAAGACATGGCTAGTAAACTCGTTGAATGACATTGTCCATTTTTTAAAGAGCGAATCAAACGACTGGTTAGTCCAAGTCCTAGGGCACCTACCAAAACCTATTGTTGTATATTAAAGTATCGTTGTCTATGTTTACCAATATGCGTTCGACAGAGAAAGACCGATACTCCAGAGTACAACAGAGAAAGATTTTGGAACTAGTCGTCGTTCGTCGAATGATTTGAGAGGGTCGATGCGATTACAAAGAAGAAGAAGAATAAAAGGGAGAAACGTAGAAAATATAAAGGAGAGCAAAAAATAGCGCAAGATAGTGTTTCGAGATTGATCGTAAGCGAAAGTACACCTCTCGTAGGGACATAGCTAATATGGCTATGTTGGTAACAGCTTCTCTGCAAAGTACGTACATCTGATCGTAATTGGTTTTTATATTTTTCTACTGTCGCAACTGGTACGTGCCTTTTTAAGTGTTACAAATTCTGGAAGCTTTATCGGTTTAAAAGTGTTAGGCCTCTATCCTACTTACGTAACAATGTGTAATCAGATATTTACCTATTACTTCATAAATTCGTATGTTTTCCGAGTGTCTACGTGTGGTTGGAATTTACATGTTTTTAACAAAGCTCTGCCATCTTTTGAGATATGAATTTTCTAGATTATTCGAGCATTGTCCCTGGACAATTAAATTCCATCGATACGAAACTCTAAGAACGTAATACCTACGAGTCATTGATAATTATATTGTATAAAAGAACGAGAAGTCAATCATGCATTGACATGCATCTTACTCGAGTTATTCTTTTTTTTGTCATTAGGAAAATTTTTATCTAGAAAGAATTTTTTCATACGCGTAATTAAATGGCATTTTTTTATAACATCGAAATGCTCCAAGAATCCTTAAGGTCGATAAAACATTTTTTACAAATTTTTATTCTAATTCCAATCATTTGATTTTTGTATATGCATTCCCACGGCTACTTTGAAATACTTTACGCGGCGAACCCCTTAGGAGTGTGATTGATCGTTGAATGAATGAAAGTGCAGTACCAATTTAAAAAAAAAAAAACAGGGCTTGAGAACATTGTAATATAAGTTATGTACGTTTAATACGAATACGAGTATGTTTACGATAATGAAGATCCTTGTTACTATCCTTGACACCGTACTAATAGGATATGTTGAAAATCAAAGTGAGACCAAAATAAAATATTTTACGCGTTCAGCGAGAAACGATTGAGCATTATATATTTATATATAATATATACACATATATAAATATATTTGTGCTATTACGTTTCGGGAAGAATAATAATAATAAAGTCAACGCTTGCGATAAGGATTTTTGGTAATGATCATTGTCCGTCATTGTTTTACAATGCCTCTTTGTTTAATTCCTTAAAGTATAATATATACACTCGTGTTTAACATGACGTAACACTGAAATGGGGAACCGAATTATCTTTTTAACTATCTAGCAAATAAATAGACCATTGTGAAATAGCTTGTAAACGTACCGACTTTCTTGTTTAGAGGAAGTAAGTGCAATGAAGATCGATACAGCGGCGATCTCATACGAGAGTCTTGAACGTAATAACGTTGCAGTCTTGCGTTTGAAATTGTAAAAGATATAATAGGCTCTCTGTTAAGTGTACTCGCAAAGATGACCACAGCCTGTTGGACATTGTCTATTCGAATTAAACCACTCGCTGATGTGGGTAACGTGCCCACCGTGCGTGCATCCTTGACACCAAACGTAGATACCACGTACAACCTGAAGACAACAAATCAATATAACGAGAGGGAAATCATGTTAAGAAAGAAACCAAAAATATATATTGTTGCTCTACCTGGTGGCAGATAGAGCAGAGTGCGTGTCTGGATGTATGACAGCGATCACACAACCATGCAGATCTCTGTAATGGTTTTGTACAAGTCGAACAACATGCATGAATTGTTGTGGACTGTTGATTTAATTGGGAGACCGAAGGCATCCAAGCCAGTTGTATAATCTGTTTGTGAATTTAAAAAAAAAAAGAATAGCTTATTGATATACTCAATTGGTTGGAATTAATTTTATTAAGTCTATGGTTAGTTTGGATACCTGCGTAGCCACTTCCCAGAGCTGAAATCTTCCAAGCATATCTATATATTCGAGTAGCCAATGTTCCTGCGTAGCCATTTCTATATTGAGAATTTTCCGTCTGTCCCCGAGAGCAATTAGGATTGAGACTGATGTTTGAATGTCTCTTATGGCTGCGTGATGTCTTAGTGCCTCTTCTATCAAATGAGTTGGGTCCCAAAATACTGGTTTTGGAATTGCTGTTACTATCAGTTGACATGGTTGATCTTCGACGGTAATGGCACCTGTGTCATCATTTATGTCTGGTGAATGATTAGGGAATTGTTCTGGCGGTGGTGATCTGTCCTGTATTTCGTGTCTTAAAGGAAACGCTTCTTTTGGTAGAGTCCAGTCGTTATCGTTATTAATAATATTGTGCATGTACGCGTTGGTATACTCCATTGTCATTGGCTCGAGCTCTCCCTCTCCGAAAAAGAAATCACCCTTTGGTTGCCGTTTGCTTCCCGAGAACGAGCGCCTGTAACTACAATGTTTAACAAAACAGTAAGGATTGTTCCTTACGGTCTGGCAAGGTTCGCGAAATTACCCGGACGGAATAGGTCCGATAAAATGGTGATTTTCCGGGGTTTCATCGGTTTCAGTTTCATCATCACCTCCGCTTATCACGCCTGGTGCTTCTCCTTGGAGAGACTTTACATCGTTCTCGTGGCCTTGGAAAGAAGTGCATATTAATTAACCAAGTTGCTCAATACTTGTGGACTGTTTATGCAAAGAATATACCTACCCGTATTTGTCTGTTCTGCATTTGGTCCAATAGCCATCTGTGACAAATTTAACGTGTTCACTGCATCTTCCTTAGACACTGTCGGTGGAGTAGTTAGAATGTTACCCAAAGAATCCGTATACAGTGTTTTTGTTATACTCCAAACAGTACTAATCTAATTTAAAAAATGGGGAATAAATCTTATAATTACGTATGTCCTTTTAACGAGCATTCAAAGAACCTACATCATTCCGACCGGCTTTGCTAGCCACAACTGCATTGTGATCACAAATTTCATTTAGTTTACCACTCAACAAATAACCTTCGGCACAGGCTTTAAACCATTTGGGTTCCTGCGGTGTGGTTACAGTAAATCTGTGCATCATACTAAATGCCATATAAAATGTGTCATTACTCGTTGGCATTTTCCTATGAGAAAATTGGCAAATGTATTAACGAATTTCTTTATTTTTATATAATAGGTTTTCGCCTTACCTTGGATATATGAGCTGCTTTCGCACCGAAGACGTTGGAGCGTTTACATTGACTTTACACGCATAAGCGATATCGCCTTTAGCGTTAAGAGCAATACCTTGCGGATTGGCTTTACTTGCTGGTCTCGTAGCATCTTTGAATACATGATGGTACAAGTTACAATCCTAAATTGATAGTTATATAAATTCGTAACTTAAGGAGTACAGTTTGGTTGATAAAATTGTAGTAATAAATTTGCGCACTCTACTGGTTGATAAGAATGATTGAGGATCGCCACGCCATGCAACTCCAGTTGGCACATCTTTATGCTCATTAAAACTGGCAAATGGAATGTATGGTCTCCGGATATCCCATACGTTAATACTGCAATCCACAACAAGAGCACAACTAGCTATATGATACTTTCTTTGCGGTCTCCATTTTATACGACCCACTGAAGCAATGGTATGAATCGTATAGTCGCAACTTGGCTTTGCTGTCAGATCCCAAACCTTCATAACATCGTATTGTTTAGATTAAAGTATCGCAGACCTTGAAATACTTATGTTCGTTAGGTACCTTTATGGTTTTGTCCCTGGAGGCTGTTGCAAGCCATGTAGCTTCAGGATGCCAGTCACAGGCAAATATCGGACCACTGTGAGCTGTAAAATGTTGAAAGTAACGATCAGGACGTCGTAAGTCCCATTGTTGTACATGTCCATTTTCTGACACAGCTGCAAATGTGTGTTGTTGATGGGGAGAAAATTGTACGTCTCTTACAGATTCTGTATTGCTGTGAAATATATATGTTATAGTAAGTACAGGAGAGGGTGTACACTATCGGTAATCTTTATTACCTATAGAATGTTTTTGTAGCTTCTTTGGTACGTAAGTCAAAACATTTCATAGTACCATCTTGAGAACCAGAAATTAACCACATGGGTTCTGTCATGTGAAAGCTTACTTTATTCACTGTTCGTTTATGATCAACAAAAACATGCTCCTGTTTGGATCTAGATGGTCTATTTAAATTCCATACAACTACTGCACCGTTAGTAGCAGCAGTTGCTAAAATATGATCTAGAAGAAACAATATCATTTTTAGTATAGCAGAGTACATAGTGACAGGTATGAAAGTTAATTGAGATTAATGTATAGAAGTTCCTCTCACCATCGGTGAGGTTCCATGCAACGTCGTTGCACGAAAAATTCAAATTTAGATTTTTTCCTACTCTGAGGTTGCATACTTCCTCAAACCTGTCCTCTAGCAATGCAAATATCTTGAATACTATAAAAAAATATTGAGATTGTTATATGACAATAAGATTTTTTTTAAATGGAAAGATCAAAATTTGAGTAAAAATACGTACCATTACGTCCAGCTATTACTACTTGACTATTATCTTTATTGAGGGCCAAAGCATTAGCAGGGCCTTCCTGAGTAATAAATACCGTCTTGGACGTCATGATGTTAATTTATTTTTATCACATGTTATTCGACATTGGTTAGCCACTTCTAGGTTATATCAAGTCAATGCAAGTTACCGTTCTATCAATAATACTGGCATTGCAGTTGTTCAATAAAAATCGTGCAAAATCATGAACACAATGTCCCACGTAAAGTTACGTTATGTTACTGTGAGAACAAAAATCCGGCCTACCGGCCGGATAACACATTTTTAACTAAAGATAAACTTCAATGAGAAGTTATAACAGAGACGACTACGCAGATTGCCGACAAGCTGAATTTCATCAGATATGAGTAGGGAGATGCACAACGCTACGGTTTTAGGTGATACCAAAAGTATGGCGCTAAATCGTAGCGGCGAGTCTTGAAGTATGATTTTGTGATCATCGCCTCCGTCGACAATGCGAATCCTGTCAAAGTCGAGCTAAACGTAACACGAATGTGCAGTGGCGGGCAAAGGTTCTCCGCTACTCACCACTAGTTCCCAAAGCAACCCTTAGAACGAGACCGGGAACTATAGAACTTCTCAAGAACTATTGAAAAAGCTTATTGTTGAAACATATTTAAGACATTTTTAAGAACGTGTGGTGACAACTTGACTCCCGTGTAGCACCTCAATTGTTGAAAAATGTTTCATCACTTGAGAACACTTGGCCCTTTATGAGGGCGTAAAGCCACAAAGAAATAAGAAGAAGAAGGAAGAGAGAAGAAGAAACAAATTAGTTGCACAGAAATATTGAAAATTCGAAACATTGAGTAAAGCTTTCCGAATGCTACTAAATATTATTGGATCTTGATTTACTTTCAAAATTTAAAATTAAGGCTAAATCAAAATCTCGCACAATATACGGAATAGATAAAAATTGAATTGAAATTGTAAAATGTCAAAACTAAATTACGCTCAAATTGAAATATTAATAAATTAATTGTTTGGAATATTAAAATAATCGTATGTTGCGAAATAATTGATAACTTTGTAAACACATGTTATAATTTATTATCATTTGCATACTGGATACAGTGACCTGCACAATCAGTTACAGTTTAACGAAAAATATTGGTATATCAGCATTTCTTTGTTTAAATCGTTCTTTTGGGAGGATTTATCATTTTTCAAAATATATATACTCTTCTTCGCAGCTACCTAGGACACAAACGGTACTATTTAATGGCGAATTTCGTTATTTTAATTTAATCCACTCTCCTTTATAAGTTAGTTCATTGTGTCGTGTGCGTACTCGGTTGATCTCATTTAAATATGGTTAAATACGGTAATACAGAGTAAAATCGTTAATAGCCTGCATATTAATATCTCACTCGTTCTTCTCGCCATTTTTTTAGCGTTGGCAAAAATAATAAATACACATTTCATAAGCTTTCAAATTCTGGATTTCATCACTTATTTTACGTTGGGTCTAGTCTATACTTCTTTCTCGAGTACTTCATTAATTTTTACAAGATGGTCATTGGTTACCGTAACATTTGACCATTTTGAGTTCATTGAAATTCGTAGCAGATTCTTCAACTACTTGCGTCACGACTGTAACGAGATTGATTATTTATCATTGATACTCATTATCTACACGTCGCGGAAAAAAGAGAAAAAATAATGTCCTAGTCGTGCGTCAACTGCATCCCGCCATTTTTTCTTCGTTTATTCCTCTTCATTTACTTCTCCACCTTTTCTTCTTCTTCATCTATCGTCAAAACTGGCAGGTGTTGATATTTCTTTCTTCAAATACTGATCTCGTACAGCGATTACATTAATTGTACGTACACTTGTATTACAGTTACGATCATTAGCACATCGTGAGATATTTTCGAAGGAGCCAAAATACTTTTCTGGCCTGATACAGCTTATTTACTTTTTTTGTTGCGAATATTCGATTGGAACGTCCGGTGAATATTGGACGAAACTCAATCGTTTATCCTGTCTTCCTTTCTATATTTATATATATATTTTTTTTACGAGTACAATACTACGCTAAATCATTACATTCATTGTTTTCGAGTTGCACGCTCATACATAAAATTGTGACGCAACTTATCGCAAGTAATAAAAATCGTCCTTAATCTTTTAGTCATACTGGAAATGTTTATGAAATCTGACCACTCTTGCATTTTTGAAATATCAATTCTTCTCATAGCGTTTTAGACAGTTTCACTCGTCTCCATTACAGGGTTAGGCGTTCTCTTTTTAAAGAAATTTTCAAACAAGTCAAAAAAAAATAGCTAAATTCACGGGAGGGACAAGTTTTGGTTAAATGTGACTGGAATGTTGCTGTCCCGAACAAGAGTCATCAGTTTTCACGATCAGCGTAAAATATTGTTCGTAATATAACTTTTATCCAAGGCAAATACGTTTCCCGGCTAGAATTTTCATTTTATGCAATAGTATGCTGAGTTATCTCGTTACCTTGTCGCATTATCGCGTGTCTCTCAAATTACGTAGATATTCCTGACAAAAGTTCTATTGCGCAATGAACTTTATACAGTGCGGATTCGACGAAAGGACCACCATTGTGCGTATACATGAAATTTCGTCCGTAACCATAGGAAATGTCGGCGTCGTCAAAATCTAATCACAATTATTTTTCATACACAATATTAATCATTGACCAAGGCTCGATTCCTTCACCACGAGCCATTATCTAGACGCGATTAACACGTCAGATACATTTTGAAGATTAACGAAGCTTACGTATTGAGCTGCATCGGAGAAATCGGACCTAACCAAGTATGTGCGTCTGCTGCGACGAAGAAACAAATTTAGCACGCACTTTGAACTGATAGATTACAAAATTCAATATACGGGTCATGTAAAGATCAATCTAGGATACGCACTGTGCGTATTACTTTTTGAATGAATCAAAGCAGACGCTTAGACGATTAATCGGACAGAACGACTGTACAAAATTCTTTACGTATCCTCGAGCGATCTTTTCCATGATCAAATAGACATTTTACATTTGAATTAATGACACAACCATACTTTTTGCGCAACAAGGAAATGTTATTGTCGTACAAATAAAAGAAAGCAGTGCAGGCATGCACCCAGTTGAATTAAATAAATAAATAGCTCAAGTGTTCGTTTAAGTGTCCTTGCGTCAAAACTAACAAAATGATTCATCTTGCTTATCGTTTATAGCGTCGCAGCATGAATTCCTTCATATCAAAGTCGATTATGAGAGAAGTCGTACCTTTTATAATTTTAATATCTCATTCACGGACAGATATCTTGGCTAACGCCTTCTGTATGTTTACTTTTGGACAGACGTACAGTTATTATTCTGAACGTGATCGTTATTCGATTTGCACTTTTAACGATTTATATAATAAACTAAAATTGATTACATTCTGGACCGGTAGGCATTTATACATGCTTCTTTCGCGCGGCGGTCTTGCGTTGACATACAATAATTATTCTGTTTTCGTTTTCGTTTACATACTTGACAAACATTACAATACTTTGTCATATCGTTATATATATCATATACATATATATATATATAATTATAATTTTTGTCATATATATATATATAATTTATATATTTTCACAATTAAATACTAATGTAGGCCATGGCATTGTTTTCTTATCGTTTAAGAGGGCCTGATTTTGTCACGAATATTTATTAGAAAGAACTTTTTCCGCTGAGTGATTTTTTTTCTTGTTTCTCAAACTTAAATCGTCGTATAGGATCTCACTGACAATTGCACTTAATGGATCACATGCTCCCAGTTGTGAATAATTTGCGTGTGATACTTGTGAACGAAAGCTTTAAGAATATATAAGGAAAATTGAGAGATTGTTAGAAATAATGATAAATAATAAATATATAGTTAGCATCAGACCCTCGTTTTTCTGCCAAATTCGAATATGAAAGACAATATTGTCTTACGTTAAATATTTTATTCCTGATTCAGAATAAGATTCATTAGGCAACGTATTGCCTAATGTATTTTCAGCTAATCGAGCTCAAGATTATTAAAATTGATATTTAAGTAACATTGAGTAATCAGAATGCAAATAAAAATCAAGGGAGATGCTATTGTATCTAGCGAGTATAGTGACGCTGTAAATTATGGTAAATATAAGAATTTAAGGTATTATTGTTAAAAAAAATATTTATACATAATATATATATGTATTCCATACTTAACGTCGGATGCGTATTATTAATTACTAAAATATATTTGGCGTATGAATAAAAATCAGTGCAGCGTAAACAATCGAAACCATGCGTGCAATAAAAATAGGACAGGGAAAAAAAAGGAAAATACTTAATTAAAAGTTATTGTAACAAATGAAAGACGTATCGAGTAAGCAGCCGTTATACAAAATCATTATAGTCATTTGATGACAAAGATTAATGTCGAGGAGCCAGGAGGCTTCTCAAACTTACGATTTACGGAATAAAAAACGATCAATTCCATATTATGTTTTTTTAATGGTAGAAAATTGATGTGTACGCGTGTACTTAGGGATGTCAATTCGGTTTATCGGTGGAATGATCCATTTTTTTCTCTTGGAATTTTGAGGCGCATAGGACTGGTGGATTTATATAAATTTTTGTTCAGTTCCCGTTAAAATTGATTCCAACAAATTGCTGGAAATGTTGTTTATCGTTAATGGGGATTGAAGATCCACACAGCTCTATGGAAGAATCATAAGAAACGATTGATGATGACGATTGTTTTTAATGACTCGATTTCATAATTGGCTGTTTCCGTACTTCGGTAGACAACGGTCACGATGTTAGTTATTATAGTCATTCGAAAAGGGACAAAATGGGCGGTAGTGCATCGACAGATAAATCAACTGACCACGATACGATGTCTACTGCTTTACGCTTCTGATCTTCAACATTCGCGGTGCCATTGATTTACATTTATCACAGCTAGAGGAATCAACAACACGTGTCGCGGCGATCGTGAATTACGATTGTTTCGGCGACCCTGATTTATATTTTTGAGATCGCAGCCCTTTATTTCTTTAATTACTTCTTTACCTTGCTCTTTGTTTTTTCTTTTTCTTTTATTTAATCGCTTCTGTCTCTCTTCCTTAGTTAATCCTTATGTACGCCTCTTTCGTTTTCCTTCCCTTGTGGTATTCCTGAACGTGCTAGCCAGTCTGGTCAGACACTTCCTGCACGAGCAACGACGTTGCCACTTGGTCGTTGGACCCAAGATTTGAATTTTCATTGCATTTTCAACATGTAGTCAACATCAATATCGAATTAATTATTTCGATAATGCAACTTTTAAGCCTTCGTTTCAACTTGGAACTTCGTTTCTTATGACTCTACGAAATTCATCAAGCTTAGAGAAGATTGCACTTGCCCGAGCGCCTTCTTTTCCGCCGATTCTTCTCCAATTCTGCTGGAGGCTGATTTCTAATAATGCGCACAACCTGCAAACGGTATAAGTACTATGATTGCTGTTTGGATCACTGGATAAATTTGATAAGTAATTTGATAAAAATCTTACCTCGTGAAATGCAGCATCTACATTTAATGGCGGATCTTTTGCGGATGTTTCTATATAAGGTATGCCCAAGCGATGTGCCAGTTCTCTGCCTTGTTCTTCGCTGACCTTTCTCAGGTGCACCAAGTCCACTTTATTGGCAACTAACAGCATCGGATACACATCTCTGTCCTTAACTCTAAGGATCTGAGTATAGAAATTGATGATATTCTCATAAGATTGTTTGTCAGTGACAGAGTAGACTAACAAAAATCCATCTCCTTTTCGCATGTACTGCTCGCGCATTGCACTGAATTCCTCCTGTCCAGCTGTGTCGAGCACTATAAAAGTAAATTTAGAGTCTCAGTTTTCCTTGATTTTTCAATGTAACGAGTCTTAAGAATTGTTACATACCATCCAAGATGCACCATTGCTTATCGACCTCTGTGTGCTGAATATAGCTATCTTCAATGGTCGGATCATAATCAGTGACAAATAATTTTTGAAAGAACTGTATCGTAAGGGCACTCTTTCCAACACCTCCATCTCCGACGACGACCAACTTAAAGGTCATGAGGTTGTCATTATTAGGGGGTCGTGTCATTCCGCTTCTGGCTCCCCCACCCCCACCCCCGCCACTCTGCCTACGTCTGCCTATTCTGCCAACCCTTCTGAGACCTCCTAGTCCTTGCCAATCCTCGTACTGCCTCCTTGGTATTCTACTTTTCTGTAGAAGTTCTCTACTCTGAAACAAAGGTAAGCCATCGTATACAGAATCTTATATGAATTATCACCCTGCAATTATATGATCAACATAATAATATAAATTGATCAGTACAACATCACTAAGCAATAGCAATAAGTATTGATCAATATGAATAAACAAAAGATTCAAAATACTAATGAACAATTCAACGGTTTACAGAGCTTTTGGGCACAATTATCAATTCTTCACAAAACGGGCGTGCATCACAAATGCTTGTCATTGGGTTCGAATAAGGTTTATAAACATCCCAAAATATCGTGAATCCCTAAGAAGAGTATCAGAAAGCTTGTAATCGAATGTTAAAGAAACAAAATGAATAAAGTCAAAGCTGCTACTTACCTTACATGATTTGCCACTCCTGTCTGAAACTTGCTACGGCTGCTAGCTACCAATCGGCCACAGTCGGCTGTCGCCGTTATGTTCTAGATCGTTGTATAGGTGACATGTGTATGCTGTGCGTCTGTTCTTCGACGCGTGCGTGAGATGCGTGCAAGAGTTCGTTAATTGCGTCCGGCTGATTCGCCCTCGCGCAACTCTCTTCGTCTTTTTCCTTTGCCCGTTGTAAGATGGCAGCTGCAGCCTGATTCTCGACATTGTTGTATCGGTAAGGAATCATCGACGTGAAAAATTGACATTCCGTTTAATTCTTCTTTGTTTTAGAGGCAAAATTAGTTGTTTTTTTAAAGATCTTTTTCCTCATTAGTGCCAAACGACTCTCAACGTGTTGTGCCCATTAAATGTATTACATTTGTCAGGCAGACAGAAGACACAGGAGAATAAGAAATTGTTTATCTCTTTGTTCAATACTTTTTATTACCGAATGATATATTGTTGCTTCTAGATGTAGTAATATTACACATATACTAGTTTTATCACGAGAACATTAATGACATGTCGATCGAGTTCCTTTGACACGTTGACATACCGATTAGAAACTCGAATCTGTGACACAAATCATCTTTTACAGCTTCATTCTTATTCTGATCAATGAATTTTTTTTGCCATTTCTTATGATTGGGGTAAGGACTAATTATTAACGCATGAACACATTTCTATGGCGAAGATTTCATTTCATTTTTCGTAGTTCTTTCTTTAGATCTTTTGCACTGAGCCAATTATTTGGCCATCAAAACGATATGCCTCTATGTAAAAGCTTAGCAAGGATTTTGGCAAGGCTAATTACTAATAAGTCGTTTGGCATTCTAGTCGTTTATGATAATCAACGCAATCGATTACGTCTTATCACCCATTATCGAATGGAGATATAAGAATGCGAGTGGCTAATCAAATCACGATTACAGCAGTTATTAAGATTGCACATATACATCATTGGCTCTAAACGCTTATTTCCCGCTTCCTTCGAATCACTCTTATTTATTGAAGTCACGGTTCAGTAAAAAAGGCAGTAATTATTACTTCGTAATACTGAAGAAATAGTAATTTTGAAAAATTAGGTAATAAATAAATAACAATTACTATTATTACTCATGGAAAAACAATATGGCGGCCTCGTCCATCAGGATGACGAGTTATTTGTAGTTCGGATGGCGTTCATTAATATCTATATTACCTAGACGAAATACGAAACATCAACCTTAACCTTTGTACATACAGAGAATATTAAGTTTTCTAAATCCTAGCAATGGAAAACATTGATTTCTCGGTTTCCGATAGCCTACGTGAGACGCAAGGACATCGAGGTGTCCATCTACCTCTTCAGGATCGTTTGAACAATCTATAAAAAAAAAGTAATTATCAAATTTTGATTCTCATTATTTAGAAACACAAATGGTTCCCAGATACTGAACGATGGCATCTGGAAATAACTAGACGTACAGATTTGCTAGCTACGCGCTATCCTATCGGTACGAAAATAGTTTCTCGTTCGCCATTTTTCTTATCATCGTCTCCAACCTCATTTGACGTATTGCACTTATCCCCTAGAGTGACGTCACTTCCTCATCTTCTAATTCCCATTTACAATGAATTAACCATTTGAAAGTTTCAACAACAAGACGAAATCCTCGATGTCCAATTCATTTCGTCGGCTATTTTAATCCGTTTTACTACTTATTGGATGGATTACATTGTTTTGGGCCTTCACGGGCATAAAAATTCTACATGTACAAGAGACTGCTTCTCTGTTTCCTTTTATTTAATTCAATAACTATGTTTACGCGACGGTCTTAAACCGCTTTAGATAATACTGATCTAAAGGAATTGACCAATCCCAAGTATTTTTTACAAGGAAAAATGTCTATGATTTATCTATTCCTTCAAATCAGTATTAACTAAATCGGTTTAAGATCGTCGTGTAAACGTAGCCTATAATAATTAAGGGAGCTAACATTTCTAAGATGGCCGTTATACACACATTCGCGTTTAGCACGCGTACGATTTTCAACATTTGTTTTATTATTAATAATTTATCTGAAAAATACTAACGCGAACGCACGAGTTTACAGGGAAAATATTGAATATATAAATAAGTGCGTGAATTGTTGAAATTTATCACCGGAATATAGGTTGTATCACATCATCCGGATATTAATGAATATTTTGGATATTCCATATAGAAGAAAATACCCCATATACCTATAGAGTGGTCTTCAATTGATCTATTGATATACGTTTATCTAGCGTAATACTGATAATTTATATCTTACGATGTTGTTCGTATTTATCGAAGATCCAAAGAGTAAACGAGAAGTGAAATTAGATGTGAGATAAGAGGGAAATTATGATTTCTTTTTTTAAAAGATGTGTGGAGCCAGTTGCAGCTTCCACAAGGATACTGGTCTTGCGAAGACTGTCACTTGACCCTTTTCTTTTCCACCAACCAGGAACACGTAGAGCGGAGCTGGACCTGGAGTGTTCGCCTCCGTAGCTGCTAATTTGGCTCTTTGTCTTTCAGCCCTCGAGGCACTCACTGCTCTTCTAGATGGTGATCCTAAAGGTAAACTTTTAGGAGGAACCCTGGGTCTGATCTCCTGAAGTTCAAGTAATTCTGCGAAAGTCTGCGAGGCTGATCTTCCTGGTCCATCTTCGAGAACACTATCCGGTGGACTGTTCAGCATCTTGGCGTACTTCGTGTCGTTATTTGTTTCTAATCCTAAGTAATTTGGATTGCAGAATCCAAATTGACCCTCCCGTATTGTGCCTGCTCCTCGGTGCTTTGGTTTCCTTGGCCAATCGTCTTCGGCTAACGGATCCCCTGGACTTCTGGCTTCTATACTAGCGTAATCTGATGTAGATTCTTCGCCTTCCTCGAGATCAGCAAAGCGGACGGAAGCGGATGTCGGAATTTTTGTGGTTGTCGGTGTTTTGGGTGTCTGTGCAGCCTCGTACAAATGCGAACTGTAACTTTCACCTCGGGTTGGCTGACAGGCTTGATGAAGAGCAGCGAAATCACTGAGGTAAAAGGGATATCCATGAGAGACGGTTTTACTACAAGGAATATAAAATATATCCCAAATGTTACTAAACGAAGTTCTTCATATACCGTTTTCCTGTTTCAGCCACTTCGATCAGTCTCGTCGTCGGTGGATCCTTGCGGTCCTCGTCACTCTCATCCTCGTCTGGGTCCACGAATACTAATCTTGCAGCCTCCACTGGAGTGAGTACAGGCGTCGGCAAGATGAGTGCTCGAAAATTTGGCACCGAAATTGGATCCCTCGTCATTCCCGATGAGCAAGGTTCAGTATTTTTTGGCGTATCTGGCAATTTCTGTCGTCTACGTGCTAGAGTATTGGCACTGCGCGATTTAACCATCCCTGTAGATTGTTCCACGGCTTCCCCGTCGACCTGTTGAAACGGATAATAGGAATTCGCCTGCGTGCAGGCTTACCTGCTTAATATCCCCCAGATTTTTTCAATTAACGTCCATTCCAGAACACGAGGGCATCTTACCTCCTGAAGACTTTCCTCATTATCATCATGTCCACTTAGCACAGAGTAACTGCACTTGGCGGGATGACTTAATCGGGAAAGATTAATTTGTGACAATTTCGAGATCTCCTTAAGAAAACTTGGTCTTGCTGGTGCTTCGCACGGTGACACCCTGTTACAGGGTAGTCTGGGTCGTTGACTCCTGGGTCTGGGTCGCGGATTGTCCACTCCCGTGCCGCGAATTAAAAGCTCTGACACAGCCAGAGCCACGCTCTCAGCTCTAGGTTGAGGTTTCAGACCAGGTACTGACAATTTCTCCCAGGTTTCAGTACCTGCAATATACATATCCATTAAAATTAATTCTTACACTCCATTATTATTACAATTACCCATTCCTTACCAAAGTGAAACCTCCACAATTCATTCGTAGGCAATCCTCCGCTCTCTCCACCAAATATCAACATACAGCTGGGTAATCTACAAGCTGCATGACCATGAAGAGGACCCGGACCTGGTTTGTTCTTCAAAAGACACCAGGAAGCTATATTGACGTCCCATCTCCAGCAGTCACTCCTTTCCTGCAGATCCGTCATTCCACCGTAAATGTACATTGCATCCTCATGAAGAACAGCGGAGTGCTTGTGCCTGGCAGCAGGACCACACTCGCTCGATGACAGCAGATGCCAGGATTCCGTTTCTAGCGTTACAAAGAATAACAGAACATAAGTTAGCTACACAATTGCTAATGCAAATAACCATTGAGTGTCATTACCAAAATGAAATGCCCAGAGTTCTGGTGAACTTCCGCGAAGATCTTGATATCCTCCGTATATGAGCATCTGTCCTCGATGTACAAGAGCCGTGTGACCTCGTCGACCTCGAGGAACAGCGCAGCCACGCTGAGCCCTTATCTTCCTCCAGGTGTTGGTCTGAAAAGAATGTCTAATCAAGAATCGTTCTCGTTATCTGACAGTCCGTGGTTATTGACTTTGTCAATTACGAACTCGATCAAGCACCGACTTGAGCGGAAAATTCTTAGAGTACATAATATTAGCAGAAAAGCATGCGTTACATTTTTAAAGTATTTTTTTTTTTACATAATCTCATATTTTCATAACATTGATAAGACAAGTGCTCCGCTTCTTTCGCATGACTATTACTGGATTCAATTTGTCATTCGGGAAACATGCAATAATCCGCAATTTCCCCAATTCTCAAAAGGCCTTTCATAGTGATGAGGTCGGCCGAGCTGGGCAACAATGGCTTTAGAAATTCTGTAATTTCAGGCACGAGGGGGGGCAGTGCCCCACGTAGTTAGGCGGACTGTGACAAAAGCCATAGAAATCCTGTAATTTGTCCTTCCCTTATTCGTCCCATTTCAATAGGCCTGATCTTTGCTAATCATGACGACTGTGTTAGGTGAAATTTCGTAACAGCACACAGCGAGTCTTTCTGATTTCTTCATTTGTTTATTCGGTCGTAGAGGTTATGTAATTTGAACGAGTAACATGGTAGATGTTTGTGATACCTTATAGAATCTGTCCAAATTTTTTTTTTACAATAAATAACCTAGAAAGATTTAATCGTCGGTAGCCATGACGACTATCACGAATTCACATGAATTGCTCATGAATATTTAAGCTTGCTGCGGAACATTTATTATTCCCATCTTAAAATTCCCTAGGGTCTGAAAGAGATCTCTAGACGAAAATCTCAAAATTGCGTCCTATGAACACAAAAAAACTACAGGGTAGGTCTCCTATGACATTCGTTAAATTTACATTTTAAAGGGATTTGACAAAAATATACAGCCCTGAATACTGAAACCATTGAAAAATATGTAGAAGGGAACGTGTGTAGGATAGCGGGCCGGGATTGGTCTGTTCGAAGGGTGGACAAACGCGTCCCGGGTGGGTAGTTCTTTTGATCTGCAGTGCCAATCAGGAAGCTTTTAGCCCCAACTAATTCGTCTAAATTGCCACGGGGTTTTTCACCAAGAGAAAATGGCTGTTGGCAGTACCTACGTTCCTACTATACATTATAACCCTAAGGGTCAGTATACAATGGTAGTCAGAGGGTTCTGAATGTAATAATAAAAAACAAAATATCTTGGGAGTCGGAAGGGGTAGTTTACTCGTACCCTTTGATGTACAAGAAAGTTAGGTAAGGTAAGCGACAAACCCACCCTGTATTAACCCTCGGCGATAACTCGTGTGTAAATACACTTTCGTTCTCGAGAATCGTGGAACGAGTAGAGAGGACGGAGAAAGGAAGAAATTTTTTAAAAAAGTACAAAGTACAGGAAAAAGAACTAGCGAGACCCGCAGGAATTACACTTGTCCTAAGAAAACGGCAGAAACGTTAATAGGGGGTGAGGGGATTTAACGATTAGCAGAGGGTGTTCGGTCGTGCAGTTTCCGGGCGAAAGGGTTCCGTGCAAAGGGATTAATTAGTCCTGGCAAGAAGAGTAAAATAATTGTAGCATGGTAAACGGGGGGTAGGAAGTAACACCCAGTGGCAGCCCATATTAATGAAGCTTGTGAATATTTTTTTTTTTTTTTGAAGGGTGTTCACTTTCATTCGCTCCGTTTAATTTAGAAACCACCCTCCCCCCTGGAGCCTCTCCGACCCTACGTCCTCATCTGCCGCACTCGTTTCTTCTTGAATTTTTTAATCGTTAACGCTTCTCGTCTTTCCAGGGGATGAAGTTCTAGCATTCGGCACGTGTTTTACTGCGAGGGCTTGACTTCTCCAAGGGCTGGAAAGCTGTTAACACCAGATGTTACCAAAAACCACCCTCCCGACTGCTACTTCACGTGGGCCAAGATATGACGCAGGCCGGATCGGTCTGAATCTTAAGTCAAATTAAATTTTCAATACAGTAACGTCTAGCTGCATCAACCCCTAAATTCTATTCGCCCCACTTAGACGAGACCGGGCCACTTTCGTCAGACAATTTTGATCTTGTCACAAGCGATTTTCGTCGCCGACCCTCTTCCGAGCCCTGAGAGGACAAGGGATGCTGACTGTACTTCAGGTCGAGCACGGTTAGCCGCCTAGTGGATATGTCCTGTATGGGGTGAAGTTAGCTGAGGATAAAAAAAAATTGATTATGACGCAATCAATCATCACTCAGAAGATCATTGATCAGACGTCAGGATCACACTAAGCGATTTGAGAATGCTTAGGTCATTTGGGTCAAGAAGGAATCTTGAACGAAAGCCAATGATAAGAGAAAAAAAAGTACGTGCAGCTAAGGGCAGCCAATATCCTTATAAAATAGAGTGCCGAGTCATCTTTCTTGGATCTGGTAAAAATCCTTACGTAATCCAGGGTCACAGCTTCCCTTGGGCAATTATTCGGTCGTTCGATACGCCGGAACGTTACCGGGTTCAAAATCCGGATACGGTGTGTTTGGCACAATGGACTCCTGAGTCGATAATTTCAAATTCAGTAGTGGGTATTTCAACCCTTGTAGCAAGGGTTAAGACCGGCCGTGCCCTTATAAAACAAAGGGAACCTAGCTTAGCGCGGATAACGCGTTCCGCAAGTGATGAGAATGCCACGGGAGAAGGAGATACGTAAAATTTGTTTAGATAAATCAAAAAAAAAACATCTCGTGCCAGAATTTATCTTACGGAGATAAATTTTAGCCTAAGATTTTCGAGGGATGAATTCCGCAAGAATTCGCACCCTTAAGCCATTAAGGCGACGATTTATTTGTACGCCGGGACAATTAAGTACTTTCCAATCGAAGACACCCGTTATCTGACATTTTCACGGTCCCCTCGCTTCGAATATTAATAATCTAATGTATATCTATAACGACGCAGATAAACTCCAAAATCCTCATAATTTCTCTATTCCGTTCCGCCACGTGCGTTCGTCCCCTGCGTTAACACCAGACACAGATTTTAAAGATTCGCGCGAAACAGTCTAGATTGGAGGGTTGCGTGTCGGCCGCCATGTCTAACTAGCAATTAGTATAGGAATTGCATAGGGGTCGTTTCGCTAATTGGATTTATCAACAGATAGGTCATTGATTGTCAGAAGTCTCGAAGGAGGGACGAGGGAGTGGGTGGGTGTAAGGGGCGAAGGTTTAGAGGTGCTCGGAGCATCGTTTGATCGTCGACACATGCATTGGGAATTTTTAGGAAAGCCGTAAAAAAAAAAAGGTGTTCCCACTATTTCGAAATCCTTTGAAAGCGATAGTACAGTCAGCAGCATGAGTTTACTAAACGCCGTGACGTCTGATAGCAGAATGAGAATAGGGACAATGCAAGGGAAGACATTGACAAATGACGTCACGGTAGGACAGAAATTTCCGGCAAGGATCGACCTGGGGGATATTGATGGGTGTTACCTCTCGATAATGACTGGTGGGTTCGGTGCCAAGGTACTGCTTAATGATCTTACCAGCAGGGGATGAACGACGTATATACATACAGAGAGGGGTTGGTATACTCGGGGCGTAACTAAGGGTTGATTTCAGAAGATATCGCCGTAGGACAAGGATGTGCATCGGAGGAGAGATGATGGAGGAAAGAAAAAGAGGGGGGATGAAGGGGGATGATTCCACCTCCCCAACCCCTTGAAAACCACTAAATCAATAGGAACGTCATCGGTAACAAGTTTTACACGTCCCTTGACAATCCACAACGAGGGTGCCTTTCGAGTGACAGAGGGAGGAAACAGTGAGACCATATTGGTTCAATAGGAATTAGGGGATGTAGCTGCTCCCGTATAGGCAGGATCTTGTACTGTGAATTTTTATGAGAAAACTTTCCTCTCTTAAACACCATACCGGTTTTGGGTATTGTACGAAGATTTGTTAACCGTGTTATATTTTTCAGATTCGATACTTGGCCGATAGTCGAGGAGACAAAGAGATCAGGAAGAGGAATCTCGTATACAAAGTGTTACGTAAGCAGCGTTGAGTCTCGAGAAATTGTCCTGTCGTAAGAAGATGTTAGGGACCACTCAGCATCCTTCCTTAGATTCCCCTTTGTCTCGGCCCTCCTCACTTAGAAATTCACGGCACGGCCGTCGCACTGCGACCCTTTTGAATTACGTAGTGGTCGATTAGGATCCCTGCAGTCTTATGAAAATCAATACTGGTCAGTGGTTACGACCGTTGTGTAAGCCAGGTATGAACTCACCTTTACATTGTAAACCCAAAGTGGCGTTTCGATCCCAGCCGAGAATCCAAGCTCTCCCCCAAAAACGTAAAGGGAGTCCTTGTACGCTACCGCACTGTGCTCCTGGAGGGCTGGTGGTCTCTCGCCGCCTGGATGAAGTTCCTCCCAGCGACTTCCGGCTAAAAAAATAGTTTATAACGTAAGTAGCCAGGATTCTCGCACCGCTACGTGTCCTGGAATCAGGACTTGCGCTTGGGAATCTTCAAGATTTTTAATGGAAATTACGTCACTTTGTATTTTAATCGCTCGTTTCTGTGACAACAGAGCACTTTTCATCTGACGCGTTTCGAAAATGATAACTGCCAAGAAAATTTGGTTTAAGGTCATCCTAGAGATAATTCCATCCAGGGTATACATTTTTCAAGACCCTTGAAGTCTTTGATCTTGATAGTGAATGTTACACTATACAAATTGCAAGTGTATTTTATTGTATGGTCTTTGCTGGATATTCCAAAAAAATCGTGGGTACTTGGGTAAGAAGATATTTCTTACGTTCCTCCGCGATAACTCTTCTCAAGTCATTTTCAAATTTGTGGCCTTCGCAATCCAGACTCCCAGATAAATCTATGTGGAAGATGGGACATACTCCATAGAATCCTGAGAAAGGATAGGAAGGCGAATCCAACCGGAACCTTAAGGTTAAGTCTACGAGGGTGAAAAAAGCCATTGGGGGAGGCTCTCCTGGTTACAGCATCTCGAATAAAGGAACCCCCTTCGCTTTATACAGGAGGAGGCTCATAGAAACAGGTATTCTCTCTGGAAAGCGCTGAAGCTGAGTAGAACGGAAAATGAGATTACTTGCATGCATTTGCAATTTTAAATCCCGAAATTCAATCGGGCTTCCTAAGACCGTTATATAAATTGGAAAATTCTAATCAATTGCGTGCAAGGAAAAGTGAAAATCAATTTATCCAACATGGCTGCCATTTTCAACGAGTCTTTAACGGAATCAAACGGGTTTTTTTTTTCAACTTTACATCTTCATTCGTGCAGTACACAAAATTGTCGAAAGGGGCAGGACCGACGTTCTAAATATGTACAAAAATTATAATTGAACGATAGTTGACAGTGAACAATCAACTACTTACTGTGTACTTGCTGCTAGGGCACTTATACATAGCTTTTCTATCTCTTACTCAGCTAACCTCACACAGTGCCCCAGTCTAAAGTATAAAAAGACAAAAAAGCACTCTTGATCGAGGATTGAATTAACGAAAGGTCTTTGGTTCGGTTTATTCGCCTTTACATTGACTTTTTCCTCATTTCATTCTCGCCAACGTGAACGTGCTCGGGAACAAAGCAACTCAGATACCCGTGATAAGGTAAGAACTATAACGCCATATTGAAGTACTTACAGCACTCCGGTATACTTGGCACTTCGTTAAAGCGACACTAGAGATGCCCGACATTGATTATTAGACACGTGTCGTATCTACTTGTTTCTTACTCGAGAAATAATGAATTTATTATATTTTCAAATCTCGGAGTCGTTTCCATTCTGTAATTCGATTGGCTGAATTCGTTTTTTTTTAAATCCTACACAAAAATGTTCAACGATCGCGAGTAAATGGTTCTATTAAATTATTATGAATATATATTTTATTTCTAAGAGACATTATTGTGAATTCTTTATTCAAAGAGTATTTCGCAATCTTTGTTTTGACTAGACTGTCGGCTAAAATGTCGGACGACGCTCGCAGCGACATCTACCTCGTCGCTGCAGACGCCGTCGTCCTCTACGTTTACCACGTCGTTGACTTCGAGCCCGTACGCGTTTTCGTTTACGACCTCGTTTGCTATATTTTCGCGACCGTTTTCGAATGCAACGACTTTTACGTGCGCGACGACGAGATCGCCTTCGTCTGCGTTTGCCTTTAGGTTTGCAAACACCGCAATTGCCTACGCAATTTTTGCAGACGCAATCTTGTAAAGAACCTGAGTCTTCATCTGGATATTCTCCACTTAACTTGTACTGTCCATTGTTCTGCTTTAGAATCCCGTTTATTAGACACTTTTTAAGTGCGGTGTTCAACTGAAAAGTCTTTTTTAGATACTCAAATATTTTTTTTATTTTCTAAGCCATGTCACCTGATCATTTAGTGCGCCTGGGGATACTCTGTATTCGGAATTGAGGTATTTCGAAATTTCTTTTTTTGTCGAACCTCGAATTTCACTAAGACTCTTTATCGCGGATATTATAGATTTTAACATTTTGGATTTGCCGTTTCCCGGCATTTCTTATTCTTCCTACTTTACTCGAGTACTTTTCGAATTTTAATGTCGAGATTCAAGCGAGTCAATATACTTTGATGATATTTGTATCAAACGTCACAATTTTTTGACAGATAACAATATTTTGGTCATTACGTTAATTAAATGACGATCAACTATTAACGTTCAATTCATTCAATATATAACTATGATGTTAAATGAATAATTCTCGATATGCAGTATCACAGGGGTGAAATTAATTTAAAACCTGTACTATTGAATTTCCTAAATTTGCCATTCAAGGATATAGGAAAATTGGACGATAGACATTGTAAGTTCACGAATGCTCCGAATGGAAGGGTTGGAACAATATTTAACCATAGCACATGCAAAATATCTTGTTTTAAAAATGCAATGGACGAGGGCAGCATGACCAGAATTTCGCTTGCCTCAGGAAACGAGTACGAGTGGCACAACCCTTCCGATGCTGCTTTAATATTCAGTCGAAACCCAGCGGAACAACCCTTCTCTGATTAATAGTAGGGTGAATGTGGTTAAAACACCCTGGTTACTAACAACAAGCTTCCCCATGACGCTGGACTTAACCTGAATATTTTCAAAATATCCCCACATATTAGTAAAGTTCGGTTTTGCATACGATTACCAAGTAATCTCATGAAGTAAGGTACAAAATAATCCTTTGCCCCGGCACGTTTAACCTAGAAGAAAAATGAAACTTTTCTTTAGCATGATGAATTACGGCATCATCTATATACATAGCTAAAAGATATGTGAGAACATCTGGAACTTTTCAATACCTCAACTTTCAAGCAGAGAGCCTATCAATAATAAATGAACGAATTTCACAGCGAGACCGCCATGTTGAATTTTGCTTCGATACCCTTTACCCACAATCCTCCATTCCCTGAGACCTTTTATTTCCCGCTCAACGTCCACGAGTACCGTACATTCAAATATGGCGCCATAGAATATTCAGGCGAACAACATCAAGCATCAAACAAAGATGGAGTTTGACAGCTGTATTAATCCTCATGGAAATTTCCATAATTGTGAAACATAATCAACGGATTTGCTTGATATACTACAGGGTCTAACGATACGATATTATTGATCAGACTAAACCCTGTTCAAATTCCATGGGGCAGCTCTGATAATACGTATGACTTATTGGGGTTCGACGTCCCCAATGGGGTGGAACGATTTGGCTGAATTCTCGTTGATAGGTAACTACACTGTCTACATTGACTGCAGTGTTTATGGTTTACACAGGGATCCCCATAATTATTGGTTAACATCCCGTTCCCCGATAACATAGGACTTTCCCTAACAGACAGTTCTCCCCTAGACGACCAACAGCCCTAGAATAAATTTATGAAATATTCCATTACAAATTTGAACAGCCAACTTCAAGTCGTTTGATACGTTCGAAATAAATACTCACCAAGACTATATCGCCATAGGTCCTTAAGGGGTAGATTTCCGTTTCGTCCCCCAAGAAGATAAACATGACCCGCAAGAAGTGTCGCGCTGTGTTTACTTCTAGATGGTGGAGCAGGTCCATTTTCAGTGCCGGCAGCTGTCACGGAACTCCACATTCTCAGTTTATCTGAAATTTAAAAAATCGCCCAACCATCAGATATCCGATTTTTCGAAGATCTGAGAAAAAGCTTAGAAATTTCCTCGACGTCCTATCATCCCCCTAATCTTTCCATTAGAGGAGCAATCTCGGACTCTGATCGTGGATTCAATGACTCGGCTAACATTAAATGGCTATCTAATAGATACAGATGTTCGCAGCACAGTAGCCCTTAGGAAGATCTAATTCAATTATTCAAGCAACCCTTGTTCCAACCAGGCCACAAAGTAATGAGTCTGGATAATGAGTTAACTATTTGTATCTAACTAAAGATGGCTACTCCTTACGTCGGAGAACTTTCCGTTGATCTAATAGATTCTGGATAGCTCGCTACAACCCACCCCTAACAGGATGCCGGGCATCCCTTATTTGATATCGATTGAACTACTGAATACTTGGGGACAGTCCAGGAGCACAGAACAAATAAAGATCCTAGATCACGTAACTCATGTCAGAAGTCACCCTGCGGATGCTGTTTCGAGGGTGCATAATTCCTGGCCAAATATTTTGCAAGCATCCAAAATAATCATCGAACGACTATCCCTACCGTGGGTTTAGTCGAACATTTTTTTCCTCCTCGAATAACAATTTTTTTTTTAATACATTTACATGCAAGTTGACGTACTCAGAGAGTACTCGTTCAAGTTCTACAGGGGTTGGTAGGAAAAGAGTGACAGGGTAGAATATGGCTCCATGTGACTTGCGGTAGCTGCTCATCCCTTAATTATTGATCGTGTCATTAGGGATCAGGGCTGACTGTACTATAGTAATCCCAGAAGTGAGACACTATAAAAGCAACCCTTGCGCGTTTACCCTCTGATAACAAAGAGCACGTCACCTGCGACCTAAGACCATTAACCAACTGTGAATGTTACGTATATCCTGGGTACTAAAATTATTCTGGCCTACGAGCATAAGTCTATAACCACTATCTATAGATCGCATTATTCATCAATGTTACTTAAAAGTGAATAAATATTACTAACAAAAGTAACACAGCAAATCAACAACAAGTCGCGCCATTAAAAAGTCCCATCCGTATATTCGAGTTTCGTTCTATCCGATTCGCCGTCGGTTAATTCGTCCCAGCCAGACCAGCTTTCACTTTTCGAAGGTCTCGCCCGCCGAGGCCGGGGGTTGCCTGGCGACGCCAAGAGTCGGTCGTCCGACGGCCGGCGTCTGTCTCGACTTCCTTTTTTTTCCCTGTGGTCAATTTGTACTCTACCATCAGCCTGCAAGATTAACCACGACCAGTCTCAGTCTTTTTGGTATGCTCCATGTGCCATTATTCAGGCAGAGTCCATGTTAATTAAGCTTTTTCCAAATCTTCACGCATTCCTCGTAATCGACGTACTTTGTCATTGCCAGGTCTCCCGGCCATTTTGTTTTCCCTAATACCGAATGGGGACCCGACCCAAAGCATCTAGTGTTCACGATACTGGAGATCTTAATTTCAAGTGCGGAAAGCTCATTTCAAATTGAATTTTTGTTAATAGGATGCACCCTTCGCGCGTGTCAAATAATCATAAGCAAATAGTGCCAGTGGAATAGGGGATGAAATGGGGAAATATTATAATTTCAAAAAACGTAATACGTTTCTCCGATGCGGACCTCAGAGGAGGGTAAACAAGGACGGAAGGCAGAGAAACCTGAAAAAGAGCCTTACGAAAGAAGATACAAGATTTTAAAATAATTCCCCGCGTCGATTACCGCCCATGGATCGTTGAAGTAATTTGAAGGATGGTTGTTATCGACGGATAAAAAATTCACAAGGGTGACAAAAAGTTGCGCGAAAACCCTCGGGTCCATCGTCCCTAAAAAAAAAGTCCAGGGAAAATTCGAAATAAAGCACCGATAGAAAAGCTAGTCCAATGATACATCCCATAGAAAATGTTCCATATGAAAGGTATTCCAGGGACCATTGAAAAAGCAATGCAGGAAGAAAAGTAGAGCCATAAATCTTCTTCGCTTCCCGCTAGACGGTATGTGCGTATTGATCGTAAATTCTGCAAAGTACATGCAGCCGCTCCTAGACGCAACTCTAATATATGTAAATCTTATAAATCCAACCGAAGGAGCTGATAAAGCAGACTGCGTCACGTGAAACGTGCCTGAGAAGCATCGAACGGTGTTATCGGTGTGATACAAGTATATACATATATATACCACTAAAAAACAATGCATTATGCATCGCATCAATTCCCACGTAAAATATCAAAATATGTTTGACTAAGCCTGGAGAGCGATGTCAATAATCTACAACATATCCGGCTGCGTCCTCCACTCTGCAGAGTCTGCTGTACTTTTTAATCTCTCAAGTAAGCAAGCAGTGCCAAGGGAACTGAGAACAATGAAATGATTCATAATTTCCAGCCTCGGGTTCTCCAAACATATATATACGTACATGCGCAGTTTCAAAGATCCAGTATGAATTTTTAAGTAACTCAAACGTGTCATGCAAACTGTATTGAATACGTAGAGGCCGTCCCACGTCAAAATCAATACTAAATTGAAAATTAATGGAAGACGCTTTTGTCGCTGAAAGAAAAATTACCACTACAGAAAGGAAGCCATACGAAGTCGGAAATCCGTGCGAAGTGTAGAGACATACAAAAAAAGCGGAAAAGATGAATTGTCAACGTCGAGCATGGTAATAACTCTGAACGTAGTCTCTTTTTAACTACCGACTCTTCGCCTGTCTCTGAAGGCAGGCACAAAAGGGGAGTTTCGGCTTGTAACCTTTTTACCATTGTATATCGCGCGACGAGCGCAAGTGACAAAGTTGCGACGGCAGCAAGACGGAGGTTGGGTATCGTGCAAGGAGTAGCGCGAGTGAAAGAGTGAAAGAGTGAGAGAGAAAGAAAAATAATAGAATCGGAAGGACCTATAGACACGTGGAACGAGGGTCGGAATTTCTTTTGTCGTTCCGTGCAATAAGGATCAGTTATGTTTGCTCGTGCGTTTCGTAAATATGGCGTCGGTATAAACGGTAGCTCGTGGTAGTCCCGAGTACAGGAGGGAATAAGGGAAAGAGATGGAAGAAGCAGCGGGTGCGTTTGCTTCGAGAGTTTTCCGACGGGGCAGAGCAAGGTAGAAATATTGAAACAGGAAAATATGGAGGGTCGAAGTAATACATAGGTATATAGATGGATACTGGACAGGGGTTGAACGTGGTTTCTACTCAAAATGTCATAAGGGTGCGTGCACGTATTCTTCGTAAAAGCAAGGACACACGTGACTGGAATCATTTGGTGTGGATATAACCGTCTTGCAAGATTTTTTTGATCCCCTCTTTCTTTTCGGTTCCTCAAGCATTGTCTATGGGAGGATTTTTTTTTTTTTTTCTACCACATCCCATTTCATCCCTTCTACCGTTTGCTGGTACTCTTTAGGAAAGTGGAGCTTTATCGAGCGAAGCTTTAGGTTTATTTTTGAGATCGAAATGCGCCCTTAGCCATATATCTCATGGTGGGGTGGGGGGTCGTATCGGAGGCTAGAATTTCATCCCTCCGTCATTTCGCTGGCATAAACTTCTGCGAGGGGATGCTTCGGCTCTCTTCGTTGCTCTTCTTAACTCGAGTCATAAGGGATGATGCAGGCTTCGAAAAGGGCTCTTTACGTTTCTATGTTTCCCTCGAGGGTGGCTACGAGCTCCACTGTGTAATTCAACACTCGGCGGGACCTTTATTTGCTTCGGAATAGTTATAGGAATATCTTGGCGAAAGATGGTTCTTGTGAAATTTTTATTTTTTAAAGTCAAAGGCAGGTGGGTGGATGATAACATAGGAAATAGATAGAATGAGATAAACACGTCGTGTCACTGAAATTACATTTGATGAATCAACAAAAAAATTTAAATAAACATAAACTCAGTTGGAAATGTATATACAGCGATGCGTAACGACCCTCCGTTAAATTCGCTCTGCTCGTCCAGATTATTTTTTTTAGTTTCAGCATCGACGCTTAGCGACCGACGCTCAGCGTAGCGTAGCAACGACTAAGCGTTCGACTGTGGGGTAGATATGGGAATAGGATTTTGTGGGACGTAGACGCGTCTCGGACATTGTGAGTTATATAGGACAATTCTATCGCCTGGAAAAGTACGCGATAAGCGTCGAGCGTAAAGCGATAATGACATATCTTCAGATTTTACAACGATTTATAAGGGTTGGCTACGCCACCGTATAAAGATATTGGCCTATCGAAAAAAAAAATCGAAGGGTGAACGTATTAGCTGGGGGGGGGGGCTCAACAATTTTTCATAGGAAAAAAATGCGAAAGGTTAAACAGGGGTTAAAGAATGACGGCTAATTCGTACGTACCACATATACCTTCCATCAACTTAAATCATCCCTTGAAACCGACAAGAGAAGCCGCACTGTATAACAGACGTTAATTGTTCATTCCTTCTGATGGGAAAAAATCTGGGGAAGATAAAAAAAAAGGGAGAATGTAGGTTAGGTACAGTCAGAAGATTAGTGTCTGGGATTCATTGTGTCCTCGAGTTCAAAAGTGCCAGAGGGTTGTTCCGCTAAGGGAGGCTCAACCCCACGAGCACGAGAAACCATTCTCTAGCCCTCAAGTTCGTGCGGATAGAAATTCAGGGAGGACCCATTCCTTGTCCAAACATTGTGGCTTTCCTCGTTACCGACTTCGAGAAGGGTCTCCAAAGGGTATTACGAATATGGGGGTAGTTTATTTCCGTCAGAGAAAAATAAAAAGGAGAAAGAGATATATCGAATAAGACTGCTGTGAATTATTTGAAATTCAAACGTCGGAAGCATTGATTTTACACAAGGTTAAGGACATGCCTGGACGCAGCTACCACGTGAGTTTTGCTACAGGTTCCAGCAATCCACGAGCTACCCTTGGTTATTCGAAGCAGCAATTAGCCATTCGCGTAACGACCCTTGCATTATTCTCGCTGGGAACCCTTCCATCGATTACCAATCAACTGATGGAGAATCTGCCTCCTGCTATGAAATTTGTACCTATATGTACACGTACGCCTATAGGAAAATCCTTACATACGACACATACATTCCACACGCACGTTTGAGACGTAAAATTATTCGAAAATTAAGCTAACGCTCTTACAAGGCACATACAATCGTATACTTGAGTAGGCTGTCAATAATTTTTTTACAGGAATGAATTCTGATATGAAATATCGAACTCTATCGTTCTCTACACTATATACTTCATGATACGTAATAGTCACTACTGGATGTAATATATGCATCCTTAACAAGCTTACCTCTCAACAGACTAAATCCTCTAGCTTGTTAGATGGTTGCAACTCCTGACCCACATCCGAGTCTTGATCAAACACGAGTATTTACGATCACAAAGAATACTGACAATCTTATTTGTATTTCCTTAGATATATTGATTGTTGGGAGGGTTGATTTTATCGGAATAACGCTCATTGGATAAAGAGACATGCATTGTTTGTGGTCTGGTTATGAAAACGCGTGGATTTTTAATTATTCGTGTAAAGCAAGAGAACGTACCTACGGTGGAATATATACGTCGATGTTTACACGAGTCGATCAAATGGAAAGTCAGCTAGACGTAACTTGACAGGGAATGAAAAGATATCAAAGGAATAAAGGAAGAAAGATATTAAAGAGAAAGGATGATATTTTTGTTAGAAATACTATCAATCGAGAGCTAACGTAGTTTTTCACTTGAACTACGTTGTCCCACACTCAATAACAAAGAACGTTCGATTTTTGTTTGATTTTATGGACACTGCAATCTTTTCTCTAGGCCTTATTGTTTACAACTACACTGTGAATCAATGTACATGCTCTAGATACATTCATTTTTCCCAATTTCCATTGCGTAGAACGATCGTCCGGTAATAATTTTCCGTATCCACATTATGTCACTGTTTCTAGGTTAAAAGCACTTTCAATCCCGTTAACGTCTCACTACTCCGTTTTGCAGTAACATCGTCTGTCAGACATTTTTTTGTTTCACGGAGTCTCACACAAGTGAAAAAATCACCACTGAAGTCTTTCCACACGAGTATCCTCGTTTTACGTAATAACAAAGGACAGAGCTAACGTTACGACGACCTACGTCGGCTCTGTACTGCGGCTGGGTCGAGCACCCTACCTAGACGACATCGTCGTTCTCCTCGTCCATTGAGGGCTCGACGCACGCGCCTGAAAGACACCTACCGAAATGCACAAACTATACCTCTTTCATCCCTTCCAACGAAGCGCAAAACTCTCCCTTCTTTTTTTTTTAACTATCATCCCTTTGTGCTACGCTATGTAGATCGGGTAGATCATGTAAATCGATCGAAGATCCTAATTCCGCCTGAGAGGTTAGATTTATCGATAGTATTATAAAAAAATGTACATGGATATATTTAGCTATCTCTACTCGTTACATTTGAAAAGAGGTATTCTCCGTCGTTACAAATATATCTACTTTATAGCGTACGAGAGTAGAGTCGATCTTGATTATTTAATTATAAAAATGAATATTTATAAGTTCAAATTACAGTCTTTTGGGCATTTCTGCGCTTGACGAAGGTTCGACTGTCAGTTTGAAAAAAGCGAGACGAAGATAGAAGGAGAGGGCTACCGACGTTGGCGTCGTAACCGTCCTGGATGTGCGCATGCGCGGGCGTCGGTCGTCAGGGCGACGGGATGCGAGAGTGCCGCGTGCGAATGCGTATTGATTACTCTCTCTCTATTTTACGATCTCTATCTTCGTATCTACCCCTGCGACTACACCAGGAACATTTTTCCTGGGCAGCCAGAAGTGGCTGGCAGTCGCTGCCAGCATCGCCGACGTTACAATCCGACAGCTTCCTGTCATTTCTTTCTGTGGGGACTGCGAAGAATGACCTCCGTGTCGAATTACGTAGATTAACCCTTCGCCCTTCGTTTCTCCCCTACTTTGACATTTTCATCGTGTCCTTCAGAAACAGCAATTAAACGTGGGACACGTAATCCTTTAATGGCAGGCATGTAATGTGGGTAAGGACCTGAAGGAGTCAAAAAGACAAGGTATAGAAATATTCAAGGAACAGGAAAGACGGAGACAGTCCAAATAGGTCGTTGAGATTTTTAAATTACTTTCCTACTTAAAAATAATCTGTTACTTAACATCACCTACTAGTCGTTTCGGTTCGTTACCAAGGTTACCGGAAATTCTAGCTGGAACTAATTGTCGTAAGAATTTTGCAATGAATCTGTCAGTGTATCAGATTCTGTAGACAGACATTTTTTTTAGACTTTTTTTGCTATATGCTATATTTTTTTTATATATAATGCTTTTCAAGTGTTTTTACGTACCAGAGGAAGGTCCACACAGAGTGCTTTCATATTGAGAAACCAAGCGCTGTAGTGTTCGCGCTAAGGAACGGTAAAAGTTCGTTTCCCTGGAGATGACCGAAAGAAAAGCTCGCCAAGAAAAAGAACGCAGACGCTTCACTAGGCAAAGCAAAACGCGTTGCGTACAAAAGAATAAAAGAAAAAAAAGTGAGCATTCTCCTAGTTTCTTTCCCTCTAGGGACACGGTGGCGCCTCTCTTCATGGTAGACTATCAAGACCATTAAGAATATCAGGATGCCGCCATTACTATAACGCTGGTGTTACTTCTGTCACGTGTTATGGGAAAGTACAAAAAATGCACGAATCTACACGTCTTTATATGTATATATATTGCTTCCAGGAAATTAAGGTTACCTCCTCCCGCCTGACTTTTCCTACTGATCGAGAAAGTCGTGCGGAGAAATCACGCAGTGCGTCTATTGGTTATTATTGTGACATCATAGTCAAGCTAGCTGGACGACATTAACGTTCGATCATTGTTCCTTTTGCATTTACAGGCGATAAGCCGTGTCTAATGAGGAATTACAATTTTCACACGGAAACATCCATCAAGAATGGTTGAGAAAATGTAGGTTATATAATCCACGATATACTTTGTTCAGGTATGTCTTCTCACAAAAAAAAAGAAAAACAGAAAATTACTCTTGAAGGCAACACGCAGAACTTTCCATGTGACTGATTTGCAGGTCTTCCTGAAATTGTCGATGTCACGGATAACGCACGGATTGAATTCCCACCCACTAAGGTTTGCTTTTGATTTATGGAAGACGTTGGCTCCGGAGGGTCGCGCACAATACCCCTTCTATTGGAATCTCACCCTTCCGCCTGTGAAAAAGGAAAAAAAACACGAAGCGTCAAGCAGAGTGAATATGAAAGTACAAGAAACAGACACGTCGTCAGTGGCGCCACTGTGTGTCTTTTTGAAATCGAAACGTATGACGCGAATGCCATGATATCAATTTAACGTTTGTTAAGCAAAAAGTGCAGTTTCTAAAGCTGCAAACACAATACCAATACGATTTTCGAAATCGTGCATGATTTATATACTGCTTGACAAATATTCTATACCTTTAAATCGTATTTACTGTCGGACGTTTTATGGTTATGTAATTCTGTACATCTAGGACAATTCTGTGTACGGCATGTAGTGAATTATATTATGTGGCGTTTTTGTGTTTAATAAATAAAGATTGCGAAGCATGTACTAACCCAAGACTTTATACTCTTTACGAGTATGCAGTATGTAAGTATCCAATTAAAAGGAAGACGTGACAATGCTGGTACGCTTGGATTATTCGTGACACTCTCGTTTTCACTCGTTCTCTCATCATTTGGTTACACTCACTGGGCACAGGGACGCAACTCGCGTGAGAATTAAAAAACCATCTCTTTCGAACGTTAAGCCAAGATGAGAATCTGCCACCCTGAAGGGCGAGCAACTTCACCGAATTATGACGAGCGTCTAGTATATAAAAAGGTGAAACTCCTGAGAAGTGTTCACTTCCATAACGTACTTCGTAACGTAAATCTTGAATGATAGAAAACTGTATGAAAGTTTTAAACGCAAGTCGTACAGTGGTATAACGTTTTTAGTAACTATCCAAAGGGAGAGTGTATCAGTGAGAATGAAGTGTCTCTTCGTTTTGCTGGCAATAGTTATAAATGACGCGTGGTGTCTTTTACCAGGGAAAGATAATTTTGTAAAGTCCTCGGTAACGTCGCTGGATGTGAAGTCGAAGGACGAGGAGAAAGCGAGTAAAAGCACTGAAGGAACTGTTGAAGGAAAAGATGGGAGGAGAGAAAAGAAAGCGAGAACTTTTCTTGGACCATTGAGTTTGGACTTTGGAGATAAGTTTTCAATAGAGAGTAGAACTGTGGTACTAGCATAAATATTGTAGAAGAGATTAAATAATTTACAAAGAATTTTATAAGGATTCTGTGCCCTACAGGCTCTAGCTGTTGTAGTTCGAAATACGGATCACATGGGAATGAATATTATCCGTCACGTTACGGCAGTCGACCTGGTAACAGGTATTGTTATATTAGATATTTATTAAATATTAATATTTCACTTGATATTAATTCTTATTACGTGATAGATACGACTGGCAGAGTTCAAGTTATCCATTAGGATTGACCGGAAGTTCTGAAAGTTTTGGAAGACCTGGTGGTAACACTTACTATGACGACAGGTATAACACTTTTTGAGGATTTATTATTTGGAAATGATTATCTTATTTTCATTATTAGGTACGGATCACGGCCGGACTATGGAGGTTCCGGTAGACCTGGTAGACCAAGTTTTAGTATAGGAGGCAGCGGTGGATTTGGAGGAGGAAGTCCTGGAGGTGGTGGTAGTGAGTATGGTGGAGGTTTCAAAGGCGGCCGTCCAGGATCTTTTTCGGGAGGTTCTGGTAGTTTTGGAGAAGGAAGTGGAGGATACGGAAACGGTGGATATGGTGGGGGATACGGAGGCGGCGGTTATGGAGGTAGACCAAGTTATGGCGGAAGACCAGGTTTAGGCGGAGGTGGACCAGGTTATGGAATTTCAGGAACATTTGGCGATCATACCACATTCGGAGGCCATGGGGACGTAGGAGGATATCCTGATGACAGTTCTTCCTCAAAAAATATTCAAACCCAAAAGGTGCCCTCACATTTTCCCAATAATATTTAAATTTTTCAAATTTTTAATCCGCCTCATTAACACTTAGGCTTTAGCTCTTAAAGCATTGGCTGGTGTCGCTTTGATTGGCGCTGCAGCAGCTTTGGCTTCCAATCCAGTTCTTATACCTTTGGGTGCCGTTTCAGGCAGAAGGAAACGCTCGAATAATTATTACGATCGAGATCAAAGCTACGGGACTGCCACAAATGCCAATTACCCCAATCACGATGAGGTATTATATTATTATAGAGAAATTAATATTCTTGCTGGCAGAGATACTAGGTAGAAAACTTAAAAAAACATACATTCACTACCTCTTTCCTTGAACATCAGATCACCCAGGATGACATAATACTGAAGAACTTGTTGACTTCTCCTAAATGCATCGCCAGGTTGGCTTGTGAAGTTCAACGTGATTACGTGACTGATATTAAAAAATACAAAGATACCACAAAGAAACACGGGAGTATATATCACAATTTGGAAAATCATTTTTCGGACTTGTACGTAGACATTTAGAATCTTAATTAGAAATTTTAATAATCCTAAAGACTGCAAGATCACATTAATTTTCAGGATACGTACTAACATTTTGGATTCAAAATATGTACGAAAACATCTAAAAGACGAAATAAGGAGAGCTGTTTCCGTAGGAGCTAGTGAGGGAAGCTGCAAAGTGTTTCCCTGTGATCTAACAACAGCCTGATACTGATATTACCTAATGGCAATAACTATCTTATCATATTGAGATATTAAAGTTTAATTAGTGAAGATAATCTAGAACCGTGTGTATCTTATTCTTATTTCTCTTATCTCTTACCTTTAGAAAGCTCTTCTATTTTCTAGATAAGTTACCTGCGCTCGATACTCGCGCTAACTGGTTATAGGAATGCGAAACTGTACGAAAGAATTTGTAAGGTCACAATTGTCTTTCCAGTCTAGCTTATTTCTACCGGGAATTTGTTATCAATGGTTTAATGTTCAGTGTTCACTTACGTTGACTGACGTGTCCTAATGCATGTGAAAACACAACGTGGCAGTTTGTAGCCCGTTACGCGAATGGGAATACTAATGTTGATGCCATTGATATTCAGTTCGATTAAATTGACAGTGAAACCAAATTTGATATCAAGAAGACCGAAAGATAATAACAAATGAGCAACAGCTTGTCAATCTTTAAATATCGAATGTCACTCAAATTATATGAAATACTCTACAGTTTTTGTTGAGGTTAGGTTAACAGTGAATATGCTACTTTCATATTGTATATTATATTGCATTTCTTTTTTCACTGTGGTGTTATCGTGATTCCGCAATTTTTGTATTAGTCTTGTTGAAGCTCGAAAAGCTACGACATTTTTAAGTATCTTACAATATAAGTGATCAAGGGTAAAATAAACAGAGCATGAAGAGAAAATCAGACAGAAATCACATGATTGAGGATGGTTGTGAAAACTCAAGTAATGTCACAGAACATGGTGACATTCGTGGAGACAAAAAAAATATTGCAATACTGTTCTTCTTGTATTTGTTACAAGGAATCCCTTTAGGACTTACTAGTGCTATTCCTATGATACTCCAAAATAGAGGTGTTTCATACAGACAACAGGTATGCTCTAATTGCAGGTGCAATGCTGGATATAGGCAAGATGATATTTATAAAATTATGTCCTTCATATGTTTTAGGCAGAATTTAGTTTTGTTCAGTGGCCATTTTCCTTGAAACTATTATGGGCACCTATAGTGGATTCTGTATTCTCGCAAAGATTTGGCAGGAGGAAAACATGGTTGATTCCTACTCAATACCTTATGGGTATATTTATGTTATTTCTGTCAGGACACATAGACTATTGGCTAGGTGACGAACATCGGAGACCAAACATAGAACTACTTACCACTTTGTTCTTTGTACTGAATTTTCTGGCTGCCACGCAGGATATTGCTGTGGATGGCTGGGCTCTCACTATGCTTAAAAGGTGGTTCGGTAGTTTCATCCAGTTGACCTATTAAAGATAATATCTCTGTAATATAAATATAAATTGATTACTTATTATTTTTAAGATGCAACGTTGGCTATGCATCCACTTGCAATAGCGTAGGTCAAACAGCAGGATACTTTCTGGGATATGTGCTATTTATTGCATTGGAATCTGCACACTTTTGTAACAACTACTTAAGAAGTGAAGCATCTGACACAGGCATTCTCACATTACCTGGTAACAAGAAATTTGTCTAATATTTCTATAATCCGTGCATTACATTAATTAAAATCAATTATATAGGATTCATGTATTTCTGGGGCTGGGTTTTTATTATTACTACTTCCTCAGTCGCCTTGTTAAAACATGAGAATGGGGGACGGCAGCCTAAGCATGAACACTTAGATATGGATATAAAAGATGCTTACCTTGTACTTTGGGATATTATAAAGCTACCAAGTATTAAAACCATGAGTATAATTTTGTTGACAGCCAAGGTTGGTTCATTATTACAATGTAATCAACATAAAACTATTTGTGGAAACTCGATAAATGCTCTTTAAATTATGTAGATCGGCTTTTCTGCATGCGATGCAGTAACAGGTTTGAAAATGGTGGAAGCTGGTATCCCAAGGGAAAAATTTGCTTTAATGGCAGTTCCAATGATTCCTTTACAAATTGTTCTACCCTTAGCCATTTCAAAATATACAGTCGGTCCAAGGCCTATGGATGTATACTTAAAAGCAATACCCTATAGGTAAGCCAATTTAAAAAGACTAGTTTTTTATCAATATTATACTAACACTTCAAATATTATTCCTTTTTCAGATTGGGCTTTGGATTAATAGCTGCATTCTTGGTGTGGATTACACCAGCCGTTGTTACAAATGGTGACATACCAGCATACTACTATGTCACACTAATTTTACTATACTCAATTCACCAAGTAACTACATAAATATATTTAATATTTACTAAACAACATATATTGCAATATATTATTGGTTTCAGATTACTCTATACAGTATGTTTGTAGCTGTCATGGCCTTTTTTGCTAAAATCAGCGATCCAGTTGTCGGTGGTACATACATGACACTTTTAAACACATTATGTAATCTTGGCGGAAATTGGCCAGCCACAGCCGCATTATGGTTGGTAGATGTCTTAACCTTCAGACAGTGCAGCAACGATCCCAGCAATGATTGCAGTACTGCAATTGAAAGAGAGGTATTTTTTAATCCATGCATTATAATACAGCAACCATTATCTCATTGCTTCCTATGAAACTATTTCTTCTTTTAAATTTTCAGCTTTGCGCCAGTAAAGACAATGGTGAATGTCATATGCAACTGGATGGATACTACATTGAAAGCATATTATGCGTAATAGTTGGTTTCCTTTGGCTACGATGGGGTCGTAGGAAAATAAATATTTTACAGGCAAGACCACTCTCAGCCTGGAAAGTCATGACGGTACCGCAGAAGAGATAACATTATGCATCACAATAGCATTTTTTTTAATTAATTAAACATCTTTTGATCTTGGGCGATTTCTACTATCCCGTTTCTTAAATCACGACAAGTATCTTATTTATTATGCCTTCTATGATTACTATCATTTATTTATTTATCATTGCAATGGACTTAGCACAAGGTAATAGCAATAAGCAATTTATATGAATATACCGATCATACTTGACGTTAATCATAAAGAAATGTTTGAGGGACTAGAAACAGGACAAAAATGATGAGAAAATTTATTTAAATTTCATTTCTGAGCGTTCTAATAAGAAATATTTTTTACGCTGACCATGAATATTCTGTGATACTTTTGTGAACGCTTGTCATTTTCACGTACTGTCTCCAACTGCTCGTCCTGGCATTTGTCTCCCCGTGAGAAATAAAAGAATCTAATAATAGATTTTGAAAAAAATTAAGGGCTCGTCAATAAGCTCATTTATCTAAGACTTAATTAAAATTTGTAAAATCCAGTTAATATCCTACTCACGGTCTTTGTTACCTTTTGCATCGTGTTGGCAGAGGCTCTTTCTTATTTTTAAACACATATCGAGTATAACTGACCTTTCCAGCTTGTGCTAATAATACTAGACAACTTGTTAAAGTAAAGGGGATGGCAGATAATCATCCGCACAAAAAATAAAGACATTATTTCATTATAAGAGATACAAATGGACACAAGTGACGTGTATAAAATTTCCTTTTATTAGAAACTATTGAGAAACGTTTGAGTTTGTTGTACGAGGTTTTAGCATTTCTAATAAACAGATATTATGACTGCTCGTACAAATATTGTATCTCTTGTTCTTAACAGCCATACAGTATTTCACCCATTGTTATTCACAATTTACTAGCAAGGTTCTTAATATTTTTAAAAATATTTACAAAGCCTGATGAAAACCATTTGAAAAAATTTATGAATTTCTCAAAATGCTTATTAGATCCTTGCCAGGTCTCACGTGAATCCCTGTGCTCTGTTCCTATCTTTTTAACGAACACGTTGTCGTTCTTGTCGGGATCATTATTTCCAAGAATATATCGCATCAATTCCTTTGTAAATTCATGTTCTTTCCTGTAATCGATAATACTTGTATAAAAAATTCTATCTGTATATACATATCTTTACTACTTACCTGTTATCACTTATTTTATCCACATCGGTTCTTCTACTTTGTACTACGATGTACAGTGTCATGTATATGAAAGCAAATGCTATTATCTTCATGATAAATAATTTATAACTCAGACAGATATTACTGAACTGAATCCTAGCCATGAGACAGTTTGAATACGAATAAAAGAATCTGTACCCATAGTGTACTTTATATAACTGTTTGATATTCAGTTACTGAATAGGTGTCATAAAGTTACAATAATCTTTTTCACATAAGAAAGGAATAGATCAAACAAATAACGAATCCAATTGTTACTCTTTTTTTGTTATAGATACCGTTATTATATGAGTTGTATGTATTACTATAGTGTATCATTGTTAAGCGAATACATTATCATTCAAAGACGTATCATGCACTTGGAATCTTGATAGATTTTATTAATCAATACGTGTGGTTAAATAATATCCATAATAAAATAATATTAACGAAGAGGAGCGAATTAACCACAGCATCCAGGATTGGCTTGACGAGCAAGATTCTCAGCCAGGGATCTCTTGATAGAAGAATGCGTTGCCGCCGCTTCGGCAGACTCTTGTTTCGTTACTGTACTTCCGCTGACCGGAGGTGGAGTGCTGCTCGTAACAGGAGCAGCGGCAGCCGGAACTTCCTCTGCACCCCGCTGCACGTGACCCTGTAAAAACAATAAAAAATATTCACTACCATTAATTTATTCTATATCGTAATGACTATCAATCTCTAATGACAATATTGTATTTTCTCTATTAATTTTATATAAATATATATCAATTTGACATACCGATTTGCCATTATCATTCGTTGCTGCACGAGAATCAGTCACCGTTACTTTACCTTCTTCGCGACACTCGACCCTTTTTACAAATGCAAAACTGAGAACAGCAATTGCCAATATTATTTTCAGCGACATTTTTTCTTTAAAAATTCTTCACTTATTTCGTGCTACTTTCTTTTTCCCTCGACTTCACTTTGAGTACAGTAGGTCTCATGAGCTATCCAGCCATTTTATTCCAACCAAGTTTCATGCTTGTTTTTAACGTCCAAGACATTTCCTACCACGATTTGACATTTACTCTGACTGATTGAACAGAGTTTCATATTTATGTATCAATCGGTCATAAGAAACGAGAGTAATCTTAATCATTCAGACACAGGTACCTTGGCTGTCTCTTTAATTGGTTAATGGGCGACATTGTTTTGCTGCATTTTTCAAATAGGAATAATCCCAACCGCCTCGTAAAAAGTCTAATTATTCATTTCGCTCGTATAGGCACGATTGTACAATGTGTCTGCGTCGATCTATACTACGTACGTATAATATACTATATGTATATATATATATATTTATAACTGATATACAACGACCGGGTAACATTGTTTGTTCGATATTCGCTGTATAACGCGTATCTCGTATAACTATTTCAATTTATAAACGTTTAATTACAACCGGTTCAGACAACGACATATAACGTACGTATAAGGTTATATTATTGGACATTAAGCCGACTTTCTACAGAACTTCAGACTATCGTAGAAGAAACCTTTTGGATTTCTTCATAGTTTTCTTTTTGTACGATCTCATTTGAAACAATCACATTGTGAGATTTCAGTAGAATATAGGTAATTCATCGGCAATCTTATATGTATATCATAACATCTATGTACAGATAATGGATAAATGTAATATTTATGCGCAACCACGTTATCTCATTATTGTGCCGTATTTACATCAAAGACTGCTCCTTGAATTATGAAACAAATCCTCGATCATATAAAGATCAAAGCTATCGCGTTCGTATTCACATTTACAAATGGCGTTTCAATTGAAAAGGAAAACTTAAGGGAAGAAAGTTATTAATCAAATGTATGATAAAAGCGCGTAGGTTCTTGAAGATTTTGGATTTTGTGATCGATTGCGATTGCGGCCTCATCACTCTTTTTGTTTTTGGTACTGGAACACTTAGCATTAAGAAATCGTCCTTGTCGACGATCTATTGTCTCATTTTTGATACGATTATTATCATTAATAGTCTAGCTGTTCCCAAGGCACCCTTATTTCTTCATCAACGTTTAAATCATCTAATCATGCATAAGTGCCTGCTAAACAAGCAAGAAATGTTAATTGAATTGAAGAACTAATCCTTAACGCTTATCTATAGGCGTAATCGATTAATCATCAATAATTACGTATGGTAGATCGAACGTCGTTAATAAAATATTGTAAACATGATTAGTATCTTTTCTTAACAGAAATAAGCATCCCTGACGATCGAGGAGACTTGGGCCTTATTTGTAAGAACTCTACTGAAATTGTGCATTTCGAGTAAGTTACTGGTGATATTTCGATTTCAGCTGAGGGCAATGATTTTCTAGACGAATCGAAAAAGTGTCGACTGTCGCCAAGGGAAGTCAAAAACGGAAGGTTAAGAGAAAGAAAAATAACTTATTGATTTCGAAATTCTAATGAAGCTAATTGTATCTCTTCTTTCTTCTTTACTGAAGAAATTCCTCGTTGTTCAGAATGGGAACTTTGTCGCTTTTTTGACTGACGCGAAGAGTAGCGCCCCATTTGGCACCACGACCAGCTTCCGACGAAGCCATTAGAATCGAATAAGAATTCGGCGACACGGCTTCTTTACTATAGTGAATTCCGTACAGGAAGTAAATGAGGATGCCTGAAAAATCATTAAGATTACTCCTCTTGGTTCAAGTAGGATCTTATCGAGAACTTACCTACGATCATCCAGACCAGAAAACGCAGCCAAGTGAGAAGAGAAAGATGCAGCATCAGTGCAATATTAAATAATATACTCAGAGCAGGTATCAGTGGTACCATGGGAACTCGAAATTTATCACTCGGTGGATTTTGACGATAAGCAGAAATTACAAGCAGGCCTGAAAATAATATACGTTAGATAACCGTATGCTCGTTAATTAATTTTTATCACGACTTACATCCAATCAATGACACTATCAGCATCGCCAGACTGACGTAATCCCACCAGACTGGTGCAAAGGAAGTTTCCGTTAAAAGATGTATAAGTGCACAAAGTGGTACACAGGTTGTTGTGTAAAGTGTAATGGAAGCCACAATGGCAGTTCTTTTGTCAGTATGTTTCAAGAGATTGGCCAACCAGGCATATTGGAATCTCGGCTTGTCAGGTCCATCAGAAAATTCCAGTAGCTAAAATTGAATATCAAAGATATTAAAGATGCGTGAAAAAAGAGAAACGTTCCTTTCTAAAAATTGTTAATTACCTCAGATTCCGCAGATGCTACGCTGTTACATTCACTGTTGGAATCCGCACCCTCCGTAGGTGGTGAACCTGGAGTGCTAGGAGTTCCAGTAGGCGATGGATTAACAGCAGCAGGTTCAGGTCGATACCTAAGTACTATTACACTGGCTGAGACAATAGTATATGCTAGAAAAGTACCAATGGACATGAACTCGACAAGATGTTTAAGGTCGAACAAAAATGCAATGAGTGCACTGAAGAATCCACTAATCGCCAGATTCGCTAAAGGAATCTGAGTGCGTTTATTGACGCGACCCAGGAAGCCGAAGAGGAGGCCATCACTAGCCATAGAGTACATAGTCCTCGGTAACGAGAATAGAGAGCCGAACAAAGTTGTTGTCATACCGCAAAGAGCTCCAACACTAAAACCATATTAAAAAAAGTAATAATTAATATCTTTTACGTCAAAATACAAAACTCTTTTGCACTTACCTAATGACGTATTTAGCCCAGGGCATCCCGCGTGCGGAAAACGCTTCCGGCAAAGCAGCATTAGGATTGATACTCCAATAAGGAACAACCAGAGTGAGGGCAGCGCTGACTAGAACGTAACCTACTGTGACTATCGTCATTGAAAATCCTGTAGCCCATGGTATACTCCTTCCAGGATCTTTAGCTTCCTCGCCGGAAGTAGCAATGGAGTCAAAGCCGACAAAGGCATAGAAACACGTGGCGGCACCTGATACATAAAGAATAAGTAATCCTGCAATTAATGGCAAATAAACATTTATCAAATGACACTCACCAGCTAATACACCGCCAAATCCATAAGGTAAAAATCCTCCGTTCTTTTCACTCCAGTTGTCCAGGTCAGCATAATAAAATCCAAGAACTATCGTCAGTCCCATCACAGCAAGATTGACTAGTGTCAACAATGAATTGACAGCTGCTGATCCTTTGACACCAAGTGCCAATAATAATGCATAAACCAGACAAAGCAATGCTGCTAGAGGATCAGGATAATGTCCTAAAGGTTCTCCCATCGTGTGACCAGCCATTACACTTTTTGTAAAGTTACTTATTGCTCCTCCTGCCAAAGAATCTACGTAGCCGCTCCATGCCCTGGCTACGGATGCTGCGCCTAAGGTAACAAATTAGAGATAAGTAAAAATCTTTATAAACAGTAAAAATACATTTCTAAAAAAACGCACCTATCATATGCTCCAAAATGATATTCCAGCCAATGACGAATGCCCAGAATTCTCCAATGGACACATAAGTGTAGACGTAGGCGCTACCAGCCTTTGGTACTCTTGCGCCAAACTCAGCGTAACACATTGCAGCCAATAAGGACGCAAGACCAGCGAACAGGAAGCTGAGGACGACGCCTGGACCAGCTGTGTCGTGGGCGACGGTTCCAGTTAGCACGTAAATTCCGGCTCCGACCATATGACCGACACCTGCAATTAATCCAGGAATCGTTATTAGCTCAGTACAATATAAAAATTAAGGAAATTATTCGTACCGGAAGTAATGTCTTTTCCTTACCGAGGAGAGTTATGTCGAACGTAGAGAGACATCTTTTTAATGGAGTTTCCATAACGTCACCCTGGAGCTTTTTTGTACGATTCATTTTAGCACATATTCCGGACATCACGTGGCCCAGAATCATCCGTCGAACGGATGGCATGGTATTGTCAGTTCTTCGATCCTTCAATTATATTATTGTTATTATTGAATTAGATACTGATTGAATGCCTCAAGTGAGTATGTGTTGGATAATTGATATGTTTCTAACAGAACTCACCTATTGGTTCACAATTTAATTCTTTCTTAGAACCTTAGTAGTCCTAAATGCTATTCCGAATAATAGCTATGACAATCTCACTTTAAGAATCCTTGTGAACTCCTGCCTAATGGACGACGGTGACGTCGCGTGGAATGTCGACGCTATACGCAAACTCCGCTTTGCGATCAATGTAGCTCCAAAAGCTTTTCGTTACGTCATTTAATGGCTGGGATTTTCAAGAACGAAAATTGATATCGTAATCTGTACATTTTTAAATTAGACAATCGATCACGTTACAGATATATTCACCATTCTTTGTATTTCATATAAGTACCATATTAAGTATTTTATATCTTTTTAAGCTTTCTGTACAATTTGGCTATTAAACCAGTGTCTTATATATTAGAAATATTTAGTGCTTTTTTAATTTCATCTTCAATTATTGGTATTACGATATAAATAAGGTTTCTGCTTTTTTTCTTCTAGTACCGAATAAGTAGTACCATAGCTGTTATGATGGTATATAACGATAATGAAGTAACTGCTGCTTGAGCTCATAGATGGCACGGAACACGCGTGAATACCTGGTCTAGTTATCTTCCGTCAATGATTACGTTTCCATCCGTAGAATTTAGAGAAGATTAATCAATCATGAACAACATTTCAGAAGAATACACGAACGTGATTGATTCATTCTATTTTAATTCTGTGGACGGAAACGTAGACAATGGTGACTGTGGCCCGTACAAGAATTTCCCATTACCAATGGATTTTGTCAAGGGTTATGTGTGGTAAATCAATGGAAAACCATTCGTTACCTGTAGCCTATAGTTGCTGCATACTTTACTGCCCGACGGTGCATATCTCGCTTAAGGTATTGTAGAAACAGCTATCCTAATCTTGTAGTGCACTATGGGCAATGTGAAGCAGTGGCGCCAACACTTGGAAAAAAAATCAGTGAAATTCTTTCGATCTTCCTTTCATGTAGATAATTATTCCCTTACCTATCCATATACCGTCTCGCAAGTGACTAACCTCTAGAGACAAGAGGCGAATAACAGGAGGACGTAAGCCTAAATATCATATGCTCAGGCATCCATCACAAGCGCGTCATGAAACATAAGACAAAAAAGAAAAACACAAAACTTATTTACGCAAAGGTGAACCGTGAAATAACTTCTGAAATATCTGTTCTCGAAGCTCTGGGGGCTTTTGTTATAAGTTTGATTTCAGCGCCCTTTATAACACTTAGTTTACTTACTGTTTAAATGCAATATCTGAGTGAAAGCATTAGCGTTAAAAAGTAGACAAAGCATGATGGAAGGTCTGTAGGTTTCTCCTCTAAGATGGCAACGGCAGGCGTTACGCGAAAAAATGTTCACAGAAGTTTTGCTAGTTCGAAAGCAAAAGAACAACGTTAATAAAATTTGGAAGTCACATGAAAAACAAAAAATAGAATAACAAGTATTACTAGAATTTTCGAATATTTCATATGATACAAAAGAGGCGTGGCCTATTCAATGGCGTGTCTACGGAACAGTCAATTCGACAGTGCCGGAAAAGGATATTCCAGTCAGCAGTGTGTTTGTCATTGTCCTACGCATACAAGTCTCGATAAATCTGTCTCTCTTAGACTTATGGGGGGTATAAAAAATTACAAAAATCTTACTTCCACACCCTTCCTGATCGGTCGATAAATTTCATGTCTCCTAAAGAATATAGAATCATTCTTGCTATCAAAGATACAGGAAATTATTTATTATCTAAGATCCATAATGAAGAGACTGCTTTTACGATTTTGTCAACATTATTCTCACGCGTATTAAACCTTTATTGGTGGATAGCTAATTTATTGGCGACAGATTTATCACGTGCGAGGTATATCTATATCCAACTTTTATCGTGGATCGTGCAAAGTACCTTTTGTGCAATTTTATTGTAATTAGGAGACCTGACTGAATTTCAGAGCTGTTCTTGTTGTCGCCGTATAGTCACAATATACCGAATTCAAAATGCAAATTGCCTTTCAACTGAAGCGAATGTCTCAAATCAGTGTGTCGTATAAGCAAAAAAAAATTCCCTATGACTGTGCAGAAAGAGACTAAAAAATTTATATACAGAATTCAAGGATTTTTCATATTTTATATATAAAAAATAAAATATAGTTTACGCAATATAAAATTTACGCAATAACGGTTGGCCTCTTATATTTTCAGAAGCCTAAATTTCCCATGGGAGTAGAATTATTTCGATACTTCAGAACTGCCCCGAGTGTCACTAGAAAAAATTTTTAAAAACAGCCTCAGCTCATAGGCTTCCTACTTGTTAGACTTGATACAAATTATATACATCTACGTACATCGTACTTTTATAAATACAGTTTGACCATGAATTACGAAACCTCTGCAGCCCATGTGAGATAGGTTTCAGAAGATGATATAACTTTCTGGAAATTTTACAGTCTTCGGGTCTTCCTCAATGTCCTTTTCATCAGTTTGCCAGTGGCCGACCCCAGATTGAAATGGGTTGTTCACGTTCCGGGTTTCGTATCTACCGCACGTGACATTGGCATCTATTGAAAGAGAATTCAATCTGTTTAATCGAGAAAATTGGTACCTTCTTCGGTAATGAATCTGACAATATTGACGTGTCTGTTAATGATGTTTAAGTATTTACCTTCATTAGATATGTCAGTCACAATACCTTAATATTCCTTAACAATGGATTTCGACTGTCATTACGTAATTTGTATTTCAAAAATATTTGCTTCAGCTGATTTGATCCTTTCATGGTTCTTTCTTCTTGGTCCTTTTTCTTATTTTTGAATTTCATGTACCGCCCATTTCTCCCAGAACGGAAAGGTTTCATATAAAACAAAGGAAACATGATAATTCTGGATAGTGATAACAATTTCCGAAAAAGAACTTTTGCGCGATGCCTGCTGCTTCTCAGTGTCGTCGTTCGATACGTGTGAATTTTGTGAAGCAGTAAAATTTATCTCTTGTCGAAATAATAAAACGTCGCAACAAGAGAAAAGTATTCTCGTATATTTTACTTGACTCTCCTTCCCAATCACAGCTGATTTTTTTGTGATTTGAATTTCTTTCAGAAATCGTCCTTCTAATATTGACTATATTTCTAGTCAAAGCGTTAGGTATATCCTGCCGTGAAGAAGTAAAAGGTTGTTATTTTAGAAATGATTCTTGATATTCCACTGAATAAATATATACGGGTGACTTGAGCAAATATTTATGAGACAGCTCTGCTTCTTCTGGACTTATTTATTTTGCCACCTTCAGCCAATTTAAACTTTCTCCGTTACGTGTCTCTCAATGATATTTTCACAAGAATATCTTTGGTCGCACTCGATAGGACCTACAGTATTTTCCATGGACACTAAATAAGATAGAAAAATATTGAAAATTCAATTTAGTACACTATTCGCATATAGCTCTTGTATTATCAATATTTTTAATACATTTTTACATGATCACAAATCCAAGTTAAAAGTGAAACTAGAGATTTGTTCGCGATTATATTGATAAACAATTTTATTTATAAATAACAAAGATGATATCGAATTCTCCTATGGTATTCCAGTACATACCTTTCCACTGAGATGAAATCCAAATTCAATGAGCTCAGTTCGAATATCAAATCAATTTCTATTTGCAGTGTTACGGATGACTAGTAAATGTATTCCCTTTTTATTGTACCGCACGAGAGATCACTATGAAGAATCCTGACAGCAAGGTAAACATCAAACTCTGCGTACTCCATACTGGAAAATAAATTAATATAAATTAGATATTTCAGTCGAAAATTCAAAGTATGATGAAAGAATTTTTTGTTTTAATAAAAAAAATTAATATATTACATCACGAAACTTTTCAACGGCCAATCACGATGAATATCGGAATAACACATTATTTATTAATACGGTATAAAATTTAAAAGGTTTTACTATCACATCAATAATAATTATCTATTCTATTATAATTAATTGTATATCAACCTTCATATTCACATATTCATATTCACATACGATAACGAGTCTATCTGTTTGATCTTTTGTCAGAAAGCAACGTATACCAGGTGTTTCAACCGAAACGCATACCTGAAGTTAGCGAGCTCATTTGATTCTTCTGGTAAAACCATATTCAGGTGGTGAGTTTGGACTGAATCACCCGGTATAGTTATTATGGATTGAAAGCAGTAATATATTCATTGCCATTTTTTTTTATAATGAACACAGCACATTAAAATAATGACAGTAATGAAGCATACGGCTGATGCTTGGAAATGGATTTTTTATTTAATCTGCAGACTGCCGCACTTTTTCTCGATTTTTTCCAATATTTAGAATATATAACTAATAAGGTGGATGATGGCCCAATCGCCGGCCATGTACCATTAATCGTCTGTTGTGTTATAATACTGTAGATTTTGCTATAGTCAAAGCACACACTGACGATTACTGGCACATGGCCGATGATTGGGCCATCCGCCCTATACCGTTTATTATAATAAGTAAGAAAAGTCTAGCGACGTGTTTTGCGCCTGTATAAAGACGTTCGTCGAAATTAAAGCTTTAAAGCTTGATGAAGTTTCTTTTTTTTTTCCAAGACGAGATGAGCACTTAAAATAAGTAACAATATCGACCATTTCAATTCTATTTGAAAGCCTTGAAAGAAAATTTTTATTAGTTGATTATTCTGTGTTATTATATTTTTAACAGTTTACATACATTTTGTAGATATTGATACTCAAAGCGATAATTATTTCTTAAAAATGTTCATTGTCTACAGATATTCATAAAATTTCATATTTTCCATAAGTTTTCATTAAATGGCTTTAGTAATTTCTCTGAAACTTTTGATATGTGAATACATAGGTGAATGTATAATGTACAAATATATATTGGTTATGATAGCAATAAAGGCATAGAATTTCAACGCGGTGATTTAAATGATTTTGAAAACTTCATTATATGTATATACATACGTAGCAGTAGGTATTGAGTTTCAGAGAGACACGCGTTTCATATGAAATACATAGAATATGAGAATGTAATAAAATGTTGACTTAGCATATGGAGTACTGATAATTAAATTTTGTACATGAAATCCTAACAGCGTTATTTTCATGATTATATGTATTTGCCTCGTAGCTACTGTCAGTAAGACAGATTCTCCGCCATCTTGTGCATTCGAAGTGGAAAATCACACACGTTTTATTATTGCTGCACGGACAGCATGGCCACTGGTTAAAATTCCTAATAAGGTAGATGCAAATATTAATCTCCGGTTACCTTAATATTCACCTCGCGAATTGCAGCATCAGTGACATCTGGGGCAGTGGTTTAACCTTAATTTATTCCAAAGAGCTTGGATCGAATGTCAGGATGCCGCATCCATATGTATGTCAGATCGTATTATTAGTACACCTCTTTATCATTGAGAAAGTTTAATTGGCAAATCACAAATTACATTCGAAGTCAGCGCCATCTTCCAGAGGACCTACGAACTTTTTTCTTTTGGTATTAACATTTTCAGCTTACTTCTGCCATGATAACTTTTATATTCTTAATAACCTGTATATTAATTAATTCTCAGATTCCGCAGGAATATGAAAAAGAGACAAAGCAGCATATGAATATTTTTACTGTACGGCAAGTTTGGTAATTATTACGGGAATTTCGAGTGATATAAATGTTTAACAGTCGATTTTCGACATTCGCCCACGAAGATGGTAATAAGATCAGACCGATAAAGGTCAAGGGTCGTCAGAATTTCGAAGGGTGGTTGTGACTCCGAAGGTGGGGGTTTCACTTCCTCCTATCACACGCAGCTTCCTCTCTCTCTCTCTCTCTCTCTCTCTTTCTTTCCCTCCATTGACGCCATTCCTACCTAGCCCTTCCAATAGAGTGTAGCACGGAACTGGCGAGTCAGTCGTGAATGTGCCGCGAAACGGTATCGACACCCATTCGTTCTCGCTTCCAGAATTTAGTAATATTTTACAATCTGTGACGTCTCATGAAGATCCAATTTTTTTCGATAACGCGAAATCATCTGGAAACTTAATTTGACATCAAGTTTCAAGTAAGGGTTGAGTCTATGGCTCACTCGTTACTCGTGTTACGTTTGCTTTATTGCTAGGGACTTACATGTACCGAACTTGAGCGGTTTTGCTTTCCACTCGGTTCATTTCAATTTGAGTGACATCGACGTGACGGGACTGCGGCAACCCTTGGCCGATGCGAGACGCAAGTTTTCGCCTGTCTGTCAGCAATCACTCGTCAGCATTCATCTGGAGAATTTTCACGTAATTGGTAAGTAATTGTCAATACTTCAATTAATTATATTACATAATGTTTGTTCTTAAGATCTTGATAATAATTTGATGTTTAAACGAATAATCATAGTTGATGTTGTAGGGTTCTAATGAAAGTAAGGTTAGGATATTAATAGATATAATTTAGTTTATTTTCTTATTCTTTTTGAATAAGCAGTTGCTTAAAAGAATGATTACTTGGAAATATTGACTTCAATTCTATGAAAATGATGACAGATGTTCGTTAAGTCGATGGTAACGCTATCCTATGACGTCATTACAGATAGCAATAGCAAATAAACAAATTCCAGCGAAACGAATATTAAATAATTGAATAATTCTTGAGATAGGAACCAAGTGATTTCTTATCGATTTAATGAAAAAGAATCAAGCACCTTTGCCAAACACATTCGTCTTGCGTATCCGTAGAAAAATGTTATACTGGCAATGGTTTTTTTTATCAAAGGTAATGAATGATTTTCCATTGACTTCAGTTGAAATACCATATATTACTTTTGTGAAAGAAACCACTGGCAATGAGAAATTTTCCTAAAGAGTATGTTCTTTTAAATTATCCGGAATATATAAACATATTATACGAAAGCGTCGTAGGTACGTCAATTAATCGACCGGTCGTCAGTTTGCGTTTTTCATTAGATATCTAGTATTACATGTCAAATCATTATATAATATTAAACAAAAACTTAAATTATTTCAGAATTCGAATCATGGTAGGAAAGAGCACGCGATATGAGTTATGATAAGTAAAAACGATAGGAAACTTCTGAGTTAGAAGAATTAATAGTATATCGTGAGAGTCTCAAATAGAAGAGAAGGAAAGACGTTAGGTGAAATGAAATAAGACGCGAAAGACGTTACCTTACATTCGAAAAAGATTCGACAAGTTCGTGCGGAATATCGTCCTGAAGAATGATGACATAACATAACCCCAAACATACATAGCCATGTAGGTAGTTATTCGTATTGGCACTCTCGTTCAACTTGATTCGTGATGCAGCATAGTTACGGAAGAGGGTTGGAATTATTGTCGATAGTGCCCCTGATATGTTCGAAATGGCGCCATTATATTGGCGCCTCGTCCTTTCCAGCCAATCCACTTCATCTGGCTAAAGTTCTACATGAGTCATATCTGATGTATTAAATTATTTTACAATTTAATGAAGTTATAATTCTTATAGTTCTTATTATAAGACTTTGTAATTGTTTTACTGGCTTCACTTTATTCAAGCTTTGATGATATCAGTATCTGTATTACAACTTGGGAAGAAGACTGCTGTAGTCAATAAGTTAGTTAAAGTTTATAAAGCGCGACAAAGGAACGTGAGCTCTTTTATATGTTCCAGAAGCTGGACTAAGAAATTGTAAGTTATTATTGCGAGTAAGTGTGTTTGAATATTAATCACAGCTCGCTCCATAAAGTTATTTTGAATGTCGCTTGGATCACGCAGTAGAAGCAATGCGCGCGCATCGAGATGACTAGTCGCGTTTACTCTCGTTAAAAGTTTCCAGTGGCTGTGTCTGACATTCGGTTTTATGAAAGTTTGAAAAGCATAAAGACGAGTATGAGCAATATATTAGAAATTACAAGTTTTCATATTGGCTTCTACATTACGCATATACGTTTGATGGAAATTTAATGGCGTGCTTGGTGAACTTTATCTTTCCCAAGGTTGAAATGCGTCTGGAAATTCTCAGATTACATGTGGAAATAACTATGATATTTTTACGATTAAGGTAAGGAAAGAACTCAGTGCAATATAATATTTATGTACGTTTATTTGGAAAAGGACCGCATAGCGGTTTAAGTATTTTTCAGAAGAACGGATCCAATGGACAATCGATAATCGATTTTCTCATTTCTTATTCTCCCCCTCGCTTCTCGCCCTCTTTCTTTTGAAAACTTTATACATCTTCTGCACAATGTACTCGCTGCCAATAGGATTATGTTCTTGATAGCTAGAGTATAACTCGATGAAAGATGATGCTCATGACCTTCATGACTGAACCTAGTGAATTGAATATAAAACTGAAATATTTCTTACAAACTGCATCTCGCTCACTTATTTATTTCACATACATTCTGATATTAATGTGCGTTTGCCTTTCTTGAGCATATAGTAATATACAATTAGTAAATATATGTACTATGCTATACAAGTATTATATTGCCTGTGGTTCAGTGCAGTCGTGCTTTTGATTCGTTCTGTTTCATTCCGTTCGCGAAATCAAAGCTTGCAAATTTCTCTTCAGTATTTTTCTATACGCCACAGTCTGATTATATTATTTAAAATATTGGCTTTCTCATGTCGTTACATGCTTATTCTTTTCATATTGATCTACATTAATGAAACAAATATTCAGATCAGGAAATGTTGAAGCGCTCTGCCCTAATTGACAGGACTGAAAGTACGAGAGTGTCGTACATTTTTAAAACAACTACTTTCACCCTAAAGGACCTTTTTATAGCTAAAAAGAAAAATGACTTTGTACTCAAGTTAAAGCTTTCTTGAAACTAGTAGGTGTGCTATGGATTTTTTTTAATGCTCGTATCGCTGACATAATCTCTTTAGATCGAAAGACATTTTGAGTAAGTTTAGGTTAAGGTGTCATGATTTATAAAATATACTCGACGTCCGCCGAAGTCACTGTTGATCGAGACACGTAATCAAATTTAATTGAACCTTGAAAATTCGTTTCTTTCATGTTGAAAACTGAAACAAAGAAAGTAATCAACGATCTAATTGCAAGTTTTTGGAATCGATCGACGTATCCTCATGGAAGTGACACTGAATTGAAAGATAAATTATAAAGAAAACGGGCGAGTTAATTAATAGCTACGTCGACCTCCATGAACATAGTTTTGATATTAATTTCCGAAGGTATGATTTTAATAGTTGAAAAGTTGAGCCGGAAATACACGATGGTACGATATGATATAATATAATTATGTTACTAAATGCTAATAATAATAATTAAATGAATCCACGGTTGCCACGGCGAAGAAAGTATAGCTGAAGCCTTACAGAGAATTGAATTGAATCTCTACGGCAATCTACTTTGCTTTGATTAGATCATGCAAGGGTAAATTTTCAATTGCTAACTACTGATAGAATTTTGCTTGAAACTCCAAGGAATTACGTGAGTCTGTTAATCAGTTTCAGTAGGAAGATGAGGAAATTACGAAGTTATCATTACTGGCGTTGCAACCGGATTCAGAGACTGATTGATTTTCATATATATTTTCCGATTCATCGTATCGATATTGATTAATGAATCTGGGAGGTAATATAATAGGGAAGAAATATTTCTTACAGAGGAATCAAAATGGGAGGATCAATGAAATTTTCTGTTTCATTTCTTTTGCCATTTTGAGCTTAATCTCGGATTTCCTATGATGAAATGAAACATTTATCTTGAAACTCAACGCGGAGGCACTAGTATAGCTGGTAGCTACACGAGTCAATCAATAGTGAACCTTTGGGGTTTCCTACGAAATTACGTATCTGGGAATTGAATTGGTTGGTTTGAATAATATTAAATATTAAATTGTCTTATGATAATTGAATGGTTAGGATATTCAGTGTAAAAATACAAATATTAATGACATTGCAAACAGTAACAAACATTTTTTTTTTATTGATAAGGTAAGAACAACAATTCTAATTAAGCCACGAAGACATCTCGTATCAGTGAATTTGAAATTGTACAATTCAGAGGGAAATTTTGTATGAATTGGAAAAAGAGAAAGGACGGAATTAATAAAGTGAAATTTCTTTAACTTGACGTAACAAAACAAGCAGAGCAAGATTAAATAATAGAAAAGTCAAAGCATGACAGTTCATGAAGCGGGTCTCACGTTGTTCCGATAAAAGTATGGCGGGTGAACTTCGTTTGCATCTTCTTTGTCTGACATTTGTTTTTAAAAAAAAGTGTATTAAAAATGGTTGGCTCAAATGTCAGACCGCTTTTTGTCAAAGTATTAGAGATTTGGTTAAAATAATTATTGAATGATTGTGCTCGTTACAATTTTTCCTACCTCTCGTTACGTGGGGGATGATGGCGCGAATCTACACGGGCAATTAAACTTTGAACTG